ATATTAAATTAACACTTTCGATATAGAATAAATCGAAAACTATTATTTTATCAAAAAAATTGTATAGAACAATGTTTGCTTAGAATTCATTTTTCTACCCATTTTTGCGTCAAAATGTAATTAACAATTCCACCCCTGAGGTGGGGGTGTAAAATCATAGTAAAAACACCTTTCGGCATCATATAGGTTTTGATCCTTGGACTATTCACTACGCATTATCAAATTTTCAAATAAATCGAATCATTTTTAACAAAAATTCGAGGTTTTAACCTTTGTTTCCTGGACTATATTCCTAAAAATCAGTTTTTGGCTTATGTTGAAAAATTTGCATGATCAGCGAGTTTTTTGAAATCAAAGTAAAGTAAGTAATAAAAAAAATCTAAAAGAAGTTGAATTAAGGAAATGAGAATGTTTTTTTATTATTTTTATTTTTTAGTTTAACGATAAACTCCTTTTTTAATAAAAAATTTAATTTTTTACATTTATACACACACATGATAATATATGGTCCCGCCAAATAAAAAAATTAAAATCAGTAACTACGTATCTATTTAGTATTTACATATATATTCTGAATTTTTGGTATATTTTCAATACATATTACGAAATCAGAAATGTTAGCAGGACGAAGGTTGTGCCAAATTTTAGTGGGACTCCAAAATCAGAAAATCAATACATAGAAAGTTTTCCGTCTCTATTGTGTTACATAAACATTCAGCTCCATTATATAATGAACATAGCTTCTGTATTCGCATATGCCTGTTTTTAGTATTGTTGGTTACAAAATATTGTGAAATATTCATTCCTAGTAGAAAAAATTTATTTCGTCAAATTTATCGTTTTCAAAGAATTGCAGAAAATATATACCCACATAATATTTCCAGAATTGTTGAAATAATATATGTTTTTAAAATAAATTTACGTTATTATGTATATTTTGAAATTTATTGCAGTATAAACAAACTCGTACTCAAAAAAGAAAACCGCAATTGACGTTAGAACCTATACACTGCTTCCACAAAGTGACATGTAAATTTATGAGCTAAATAAACGATACTATTATGAAAAATAGCCAAAACAGATCGACTTTTTTTTATTTGTTTTTATTTCGAAAATATGTGTCTCGACAGCTAATGTTCATTGACATACAGTCCCTGCTCAATTTATTAGACTCACTTAGCAAATTCAAGTTTTCTGTGTTTTATAATCAATTATAATTATAACTATGTTAGCTATAAGTAAGAAACATAACACAAATGGTAGTAGTAACCTTTTTGCATATTTATTGAACAAAAATAAAGTAAATTATTACAATATTGTACTATAACATTAATATTTTGTTAAGCCACCTTTGGCATTAATAAGTACAGCCACTCCACTAGGCATGCTGTTTATGCATTTTTCTGCGATTTCTTTTAAATTTTCGGTACGATTCCAATAGAAAATGATTCTTTCTATCAACTGAATCTTGTTGGTAATTATTTTCTTGGCTAATTCTCTTTTTAGACACTCCCAGACATTTTCAATGGGGTTCATGTCTGGTGAGTTGCCGGGCCATGGTAAGAGCGGAGTTTCTTGTTCTAATAACAATTTTTTAATACTTTTAGCCGTATGGCAAGGTGCTCCATCCTGCATAAATATCTTATGACTGTTACCAAACCATTCGTTCACTTGTGAAACCAATCTTGTCTGCAAAACCCTTTTATATTGGTCTTGTCGCATGGTTCCTTCTACAACATACAAACGTTCCATACCTTTGCCACTAATCACTGACCATATCATTACTGAGGTGGGATGTTTAATTGTATTAATTACACATCCCTTTTCATATTTTTACCCTGGACATCTTCGGACAAACTGGGCCTTGTCATCCATTATTTGAAACGTGACTTCATCGCGGTTGATTTAAGGGGTTTGGGATTTTTTGGTTTTGGGTTAGTTTTGTTTTGTGGGGGGTGTTGGGTAAGGTAGGAATTATGATGTTAAGACGGGTTGGTTGAGGTGGAAAATAGAGTTTAGGGGGTGGGGATGGGGGGGGGGGTGGGGGGGAGGAGTCTTATAAGGGGTATGGGGGTTGAAATGGATGTATTTGTGAGGATGTATGGGGAATAAGGTTTAGGTGATAAGGGAGAGAATTAGTGGGAGGTTGAGAGTGGGGGGATAGGAGGGGGGGTATGAGTTGGGGGGGGGGGTTGTGGAGGAGAAAGGGGGGGGAGGGGGGTGTGGGTGAATATGATAAAGAAATTAGGTAGGATAGGGAGAGGGTGGGGGGTAGGTTGAGAGATAGGTATTAGGTGTAGAAATGGGGAGGAATGAGAGAGAGTAGTTGGAGGTGGGGGTGGTATTGTTGGTTGGTGGGTAGATTATATTTGTGAGGTGGGGGTAAAATGAGGTTTTTGGAATTGAGTGTGGTTGAGGGGTGGGTGGGTTAGTTGTGGGCTAATGGTGGTGGTTGTTGGTTGGTGTTGTGGTAAATGTGTTGTTGGATTTAGGTAGTGATTTGGGGTTTGTTAAGGTAAATTTGAGTGTGGGGTTGGTTTTTTTTATTTGGGGTTTTGTTGGTGGGAGGTAGAGGGGTATATGGAGTGTAGAGGTTTGGGGTATTTATAAGTTTTGGTGTAATGGGAGTAGGTTTGTGGAAAATGTGGGTTTTTAAATGGAAATTAGATGTGAATGGTTATGTAGGATTGAAGTGGTTTGGGTTTTTTAAGTGGGGGGGGGGTGAGATGTTGGGTATGGTAGGTTGTCAATTACATTCATGTTTACATGGGTAATACTGTACATTGGTACAAGTTAGTTACAATACATTTTTTATAATACATGTTGTTTTAAATCAAATTGTATAACTGTGTGTTTTTTAAAAAGTTTAATACATTTTCGTAGTTGTTGCTGTTTGAGATAAGTATGTCTTTTAGGTTGTTGCCAAGATTGTATTTTCTACTGGCTGCTAGGTAGTGTTGACAGTCACGAAGTACATGTGTTACGGAAGTCGTGGTGTTGCAGTACTAGTAGAGTAGGCGGGATCTGTAGAAATTCAGACCATAATGGACATTTTCCATAGGAAGCTATTTTTTGCTGGAATCCCTTCAGGATATGCCCAATATCGATAATCACAATATGTGCCAGTCGCAAACCCTGTGCTAAATTTTTTATTTAACAAAATCTGAAAACAATTGAAAATTTCCCATTTTTTTGCTCCTATTTTCGTTTATAATTCGGAAAATATTGATCCTAGACAAAAAATTATAACTAGTTAAAAGTTTCGTTATTCAATTTTACACAATATTTCGTTAGCTAGAAATTGAAAATTTAATGTTTATTGCTGAAAAAATAGCAATAAGTGGAAAAAAAGTTCAAAAAAATAAAGTTAATCCTTTAAATGTTTTCGACTTTCTAAACTTGACTTACAAGTTCCATATTCAGCATAGAAAAACTTTTTAATATGTTTAAAACTTGTGCTAAGTTTTGTTAAGATCGGTCGGATAGGTTTTGCATAATAATTTTGCAATCCAGCCTACTGGAAAAAAATCGCAAATTTTCAAATTTAATTGTAGGCCCTAAATAAGGCCCTCAGATTGTTGCAAATTTTTTTACATATAAAGGAAAACAAACTTTCAAACGCTTTTTGTAAAATTCAAATCGGTTCACTAGGAGAGCCTAGAAATTTTTTAAAAGTCTTAAACATTTTGTACAAGAAGCCGAGATAATGCAATTTTTAGCGCGCGCTATGATGTTGAACTCGCCGATTCACATTTCGAGTGAATGTCTCCCACCACCACCTCTCATGCATTCTGATCGATATTTTACGTGAAAACGGTTTTTTATTTGTCTTTTTTATGGATGTTGCCATGAAGCGCATTACGTAAAACTTTTCATATAAAAAGTACTTGACAAGGCGAGGGTATTTGTTTAAAAATGAGCTCTCTATCACTTATGTTTACACGGCAAATGCATGCCAACTTTGACCTTCAATATCTCGGCAACCAGTAAGCCGAATATATCTTTTTTTTAAAGAAACGTCTTTTAATGTTTTTTAAGTGTATAAATTTTGAAATTGATATGTTTAAAGCTCGTAAAGTTATTCAATTTGTTTATAAGTCTAAAAAATGTTTAAAACTTTAAAAAATTCTCTAGGCTCTCCTAGTCAACCGATTTAAATTTTACAAAAAGCGTTTGAAAGTGTGAGACTTCCTTTATATGTAAAAAAAATGCAACTATCTGAGGGCCTTATTTAGGGCTCACTATGAATTTGAAAATTTGCGATTTTTTTCCAGCAGGCTGGATTGTAAAATTATTATGCAAAACTTATCCGACCGATCTTAACAAAATTTAGCACACGTTTTAAACATAATAAAAAGTTTTTCTAGGCGGAATATGGAATTTGTAAGTCAAGTTTAGAAAGTCGAAAACATTTAAAGGATTAACTTCATTGTTTTGTACTTTTTTTCCAATTATCGCTATTTTTTCAACAATAAACAATAAATTTTTAATTTCTAGCTAACGAAATATTGTGTAAAAGTGAATAACGAAACTTTTAACTTGTTATAATTTTTTCTCTAGGATCAATATTTTCCGAATTATAAACGAAAATAGGAGCAAAAAAATGAGAAAATTTCAATTGTTTTCAGATTTTCATTGTTGTTTCAGAAATAGCTTCCTATGAAAAATGTCCAATCCAAAACAGATCCTATCTAGACTAATGTATATTATGTGTCGCCGAAAGAACAAAATATGAGCGCATATTGTTCGGTATACAAGGATCTTTTGGAACTCTTGTTTGTTTCGATGCGGTGTTTTGTAGATATGATTTTTCAAAAAACATATTATTATTAATATATTATTATAACAATTCTAAGAAACGTGGATATTCTTGGTACATATTTCCGCATATTATGATTCTCCGAACTTACATATTTTTCTATTAGGAGTAAACATGCTTATTGAAATGTCCTCCTAATTTTGGGTTGAATAGATCTGTTTTAATTTAATTTTTTGCGCAGGAACGATGACGATACTGACTTCAAGCATATTTTCAAAGATTATTTCCAAGAAAACTTCGAAATTAGCAACGATGAAAAATACGAGAAAATCGATGTACCTGATTTCAAAGATGGTCGCAGTGGTCGTTTCATTCACGATTTTAATACCAATACAACTGGCATCATTGACGTAACAGGACGTAGATGCTTCGTTATGCCATTGAATCGGGACAATGTTCTGCCACCAAAGTCATTGTTTGATTTGATTCACAAGATGTGGGAAGGGTAAGTAAAAGATAATTAATTTTTAAGGACTCTGTCACCTTTACTTCTTTACATAAACATGTTGATCGTTTTTGTGTCTTCTCTTGTTGAACTGCGTCGATTATCATTGCGTCGAGCTTTCAACATCCTCTTCGATGTCTTCTTTAGTGCTTCCGAGGTCTCAGTCTCCCGAGCCCCCAAACACTACTACATTAATGCTACTGGGAACCGCGGATGGTTCATTTGTACATGGTGCAGTGTTTTACAAGGCTTGTAGACGCGGCAAGTGAATTAGGACTTGTGGTAAACGAGGAAAAAACCAAATATACTGCATTATATAAACCTTGTATATTTGTATACAAGCACCCAAACAATTTCAATCGGATAGAAGAAGGACTGAAAATCAACAAGACAAGCTACTATAACAACGACACGCCCCCTCAAGCCGAAACCAGTGGAGAGGAGGCGAGTGGGAAATATAAATATTGCCTCCGTGGTACAACGCGGCGCCAGTTGAAGATAACTCAGAAGACAACGGCCCAACATCGCGAACAAACAGTTTAATAAGTTACACGATGACCGTGAAAGCCTAACGCAGTTTATCAATACTCGGAGACATTTGAAATAAACAATGGATTAAAACAGGGAGATGCACTTTCACCACAACTCTTCAACTTAGCTCTGGCGCACATAATCAGAAGTGCAGGAATCGATAAACCGAATACAGTTACCAATACATTTGCACACGATATCAATCTAATAGGAAACACACGATTAAGAATGAAAGAGACTTTCGTGAGGTTCTAGAAGAAAGCAGAGAAGATGGGGCTCCAAATCAACGAAAACAAGACGAAATATATGTATATGAGCCGCAATAACCAAAGCAGAGACAGAATCGGTCAGAACAACGCCATCGATGACTTTAACTTTGAGCGCGTTAGAGAATTCAAGTATCTTGGAACAACAATAACTGAAGACAATAACGGATCACAAGAAATAAACAACAGGATTCAGGCCGGCAACAGATGTCTTTTTGGGGAATGGGACAATCCACCGGCAGCCGATTCGCCGTCAGAAATTTAATTTTGAGCATGTTTATTAATAACATTTGGTTATAAAAATAAGATTTTAGGCAATGCATTATTTTATGGTAAGTACCTGTTTATTGATGTTTATTGAGTTGGTGTTTTATTTTTATTAGGAATAAAATATTTTACAAGAACTGGCGGACCAAGGAATTTTACATTTAGTACAAAATTATAATAGACAAAATATTTTAGAATATCTCAGAGGCTTAGCCCATAACTACGAAATGTAGAAATTAATTTTTTAATAAAACAAAACATAAACCAATGGATTACTTGTTTCATTTACTTAGCAAAAATATTTAATTAAACATAAAATTATATGAATTAAGTTTTCGTTAAACACCAACCCTCAATAAATGGGTACTTACTAAAAAAAAATTATTGCCTAATTTTTTTTAAATTCTTGTTAAACATTTTTTATTCCAACAATAATTTAAACAAAAAATTAAATTCTTTAATCATTATTCACTGGTTATTAATGGTCATTAAATAAACAACAACTATTTTAATCCACATTACAAGATCAACCACCCTAATTGTTTTCTAGTTCTTGTTAAATATTTTATTCCTAATAAAAATTTAAACATCACACCATTAAATGGTACTTACTATAAAATAATTTATTGCTTAAAATCTTCTATTTTTAACCAAGTGTTCTTAATAAACATTCTAAAAATTAAAATTCTGACGGCGAATTGTCCTAGACCCGTCTTTTTGCCCTCCAAAACCTTATAAAATCGAAACAACTAACAAGACGTACGAAGATACAGATCTATAAAACAATCATACGACCCGTTGTGATGTATGGAAGCGAAACGTGGACGATAACAAAGGCAAACGAAGTGAGACTATGTGTCTGGGAAAGAAAAATACTAAGGAAAATCTTTGGTCCTGTGCTGGATGAAGCATCAGGACAATATAGGATAAGAACTAACAAAGAGCTCGAAGAACTCTACCCAGGCGCCAACATCATAAAGTCCAGAAGACTCCAATGGGCAGGACACCTCAGAAGACATTCTGACGAACGAACAGTAAGACTAGTGTGGGAGGAAGTCCCAACTAGAAGAAGACCACGCGAACGCCCTCGTCTCCGGTGGCGGGATAATATAGCAGGAGATTATATAAGCACTATGGGCGTGAAGAATTGGATGGAGTTTGCTCAAAACAGAAAACAGTGGAGACATGTTGTCGAGTCGGCTAAAACCCACGAAGGTTGTAACGCCATGGAGTAAGTAAGTACTTTGCCATCTACTGCATTATTTCCCGTGTTAGAATTGAGGGACATCTTCGTTAAATAATTTTTTAGTTTTTCTTGTGTGTTTTGGATAAATTTCCCTTTTTTGCAGTAGCGGAATTTATATTTTTCTTGTTATAGATTTTTCTGTACATAGTAAATTTATTATATTTCTTATTTGTAGTCTTTTATTTCTTCACATTTCACAGCCTGTTTTGGTTTGCCCCCTTTATTTTGGATCTAATATCTCTATCGAGTCACTTGTATTACTGCAGATTCCTTCCCTTGTGTTTGTCTTGTTTTCATTTTGACAAGAGGATTTCTCGTGGCCTCCAGTGTTCTTTCGCTTTATTCGTGACGCAAGCATCTCGTCTTTAAATAGTTTCCAAAATGAGTAAAGTAGTTAAGGTCTTAGTAACTAGGAAACCTGGAAAGACACCGTTAAAAACTTCGAATAAAACAAAAACGATCAACCAAAAAAAAGTATAAACAACCTTCAGAAGTCATTGATCTTTTAAACGAATATTTTTATTGAACCAGTAACATAATATTTAAAAAACGCAGTTAGTTGCATGGTTAATGTTTATTGCAATGTAAAATAAAACTGATGTGAGTCACGTTCATATTTGTTTAACTTTAATTTTTTTGCAAGGTGAAGGTTATTGAATTACATAATGCACATGGGTTTTAATTAATATTTTCATATTATTGTGTATTTATAGTTTGTTTGGTCTACTCTATTTCATTATTTAGATATGCGGACGACACTGTAATCTTAGCCGAAAACATTGAAGATCTTCACAGACTGGTGACCAGAATAGCGGAGTATGGTCTAACAATGAATATCAAGAAGACGAAATTTATGAGAATATCGAAAACTCAAAGAAATAACGAGAATCTTTTAATAAACGGAGACAATTTACAATAAGACAATCAAAATAAGAATAGAAAAGGCTAGAGCAAATTTCAATAAAATGAGAATAGTGCTATGTACCAGGGATTTAAAACTGGAACTAAGAGTTACGTTGGCAAGGTGCTATGTTTTTTCGACTTTATTTTATGGAATGGAATCTTGGACCTTAAATGCGACATCGATAAAAAAAACTGGAATCATTCGAGCTGTGGGTGTACAGAAGAATACTGAAAATATCGTGGACAGAACACGTAACAAACAAAGAGGTTCTGGGAAGGATGGATCTCTCTCTTTAATCCTGACCCCCCAGGGGGAGTGTAGTGGTCGACGTGATGTCGTGTATTGTCCGTCTCCAGATATCTCTGTCTCTGGTCATTTCTTTTAATTCATGCATAGGTCTTTAGCATATTCCTGTAATTTGATCTATCCATCTTGTTGGGGATCTTCCTCGTGACCTTCGGCCTTCTACCTTTCCTTGTATTATGAGTCTTTCCATGTTTTCTGTGTTTGCTCTCATAACATGCCCAAAATATTTTAATTGTTGGAGATGGACTTTACTAGAGAGTTGTTGGCTAACTTTTAGCTCTCTTAAAATTGAATTATTTGTTCGTTAAACGGTCGGTCCAAGGAATTCGTAACATTCGTCTCCAACAGAACATTTCAGTGGCGTCTATCTTTCTTCTCTCCGATTGTCTCAGAGTCCAAGATTCACATCCGTAGGTCAGTATTGGGAATATTAAGCAGTTGATCAATCTCATCTTTATCGCTCTTGAAATTTGACGTTCCTTCCATATTTTGGTCACTTTTGCTATGGCAACTTTTGCTAGATCACATCTACGTTTAATCTCTTCTTGTAATGACCCTGTGTTTGTGATTAATGATCCCAGATATAAGTATGAGCTCACAACCTCGAACCGGTCAATTGTGGTTATGTGTGGATGATTGTTGTGTAGTCTATCCACTATCATGATCTTTGTCTTTGATATGTTTAATTGCAGACCAAATATTTGACTTTCGTTTTCGATCAGTCGTATAAGTTCCATCAGCTCTGCTTGACTATTTGCAAGAAGGGCTGTGTCATCTGCGAAACGTAGGTTGTTTAGTTTATGACCATTTATTGAGATGCCCTTTTCCCATCCTTCAAGTGCTCTTCGCATAATATACTCCCCATATATGTTGAATAATTGTGGAGGTAGTATACATGCTTGTCTGACACCCCGTTCTGGATGAAATTCGTTCGAAAGTGTGTCAAGTACTTTAACTGATCCAGTAGTGTGTTCATATAGTTCGGTTATAAGCATAATTAGATGTTGTGGTACGCCTACTTCTTTTAGTATTCGCCATAAGTGTCTCCACTTGACCCTGTCGATCGCTTTACGGTAATCTATAAAACAGATGTATAGTGGGATGTTGAATTCCCTAGATTTCTCGATTATCTGTCTTATAGTTCTATAATTGTCGCATTTATGGAAGCTGCCTTTTTTATGTATGGTCGTTATTGTAGATTTTGTCCAGTCTTCAGGCCATTGTTTGGAATGCCATATTTGGTTACAGAGTAGATGAAGTAACTTTATGCCGGTTTCTTCTGTGGCTTTAAGCATTTCTGCTGTTATCATATCTGGACCTGGTGCTTTGTTATATTTTAGCTTGTTGATAGCCTGTCTTACTTCATTTTCGAGTATATCAGGTTCTTCTTCCACCTCGTCAGAGATTTTGCTAACAAGCTCTTGGCGATGATCATCTTTATATAGGTCCCTGCAATGCGATTTCCATGTCTCTGCTATGTCTTCTCTGTTTGTTCTCAGGGTTCCGTGTTATCTTCAATGGCCCAAGTTCTGGCTCTGAAGTCTCTTGTCAGGTAGCGTATTTTTCTAAATAGATCTCTCGGCTGATTATTCTGACCATGTCCCTCAATTTCTTTGCATATACTTTGATAGTACTGTTTTTTGTCGGCCTTACATCTTCGTTTTATTTCTTTATTGAGGTTTCTTAAACTAGCTTTCTCCCTTTCACTATGTACACTACTTTTACAAAGATTTCTTTCGTCTTCCACATGACACAAAATGACGAAATTTGAATGGTTGTTAGAACAGTCGAATAATTATCTATATAATATACTTTTGATGCATTATTTGGTTGCATCATTATGGGTTCATTGAAATATAACATAGACATAAGTACATAGTAAAAACTGATTCCTGGATATTGCTTCTTTTATGGCTGTATTGCCTAAAGACTTACGTTTAGACCAGTATATGTGCATTGGGCAAACAATTATAGGATATTATAAGGGCACATTCTAGAACAACTTTGATTTCGCCTGAAGATATTTCTTGAATATTCCTCTTTTTTTTTCTGAAGCAGTCAATCACATGAGAATCTTTGTTTATTTTATCTGTAAGCGTTGGTTTTTCATGCGGGACTTTAGGATGATGTTGTTAACATTTCTGTTCCAGTCGAAAATGGGATCTAGAATTTGTGGCTGCTGTGCGTCGTCAGTTGAATGACAACTGTCTTCAGCTTCAGTTGGATTATCCACTTACTCTTTAACTGGTTCGCCAAGTTCTTCAACTTCAGGTTTTTCAAATCAGATAAGTTTTTGACTAAATCTTCCAATTCTTTTCTCCCAGTCTACTAACTGCATTAGGAAGAAATAGAGCACTGAAAAAGGCTTAAAAAATGTCTGCGAGGTGATAATGCAAAGGTTTATTGATATCTGCTGTTTATATGTGCTGATTCACACATGCCACTGTTTCATTGCCGCTAAAATAACGACGAAACAAACCGATACAAACTCACCGATACAAAATTGGCATTTACTGTACTTTTATGTTACAAAATGCAAAATTAATCGAATACATTTTTTCTCTATTGTCAATTATTTAATAAACTGAAATATTTTTATTCTTTTTTAATTTTAGATATTATAAAGTAAATACCGATCTTGTTAGAAAAAATATGAGAGTGATTATTCCGCCAATTACAGACACCAAGACCATTGGAGGATATATTGCAAGTGAATGTGATGGATTGCCCATTTATAAATTAGAAAGATATGTTGGTGGAGGTAAGTAAAACAAAATAACATGAACTACTTTGGTGAATATGTTCCTTTTCAAACTGTAGCAAGTAAGGGCCGATTGTTCGAACGCTAATCAAAACTTTGATTGTAATCAAATATTTAATTAAAATCAAATACGTTATATAAAAAGTGAAAAATCGTTTATGTGGTGTGTGTGTGCCGGTCTTAAAGAAATATAGTTTTTGATCGCATTGAGAATGGCATTTGCTTCGTTAGGAGCATCAGAGATCAATTTCTGGACTAAGTCAAATTAATATTACTGCGGAACATACCTTTGATTCTATCCAACCAGAATTATCTGGAACTGAGCCTGAGCCCTTTGCCAATAGTGGTGACTCTTATCAACCTTCAGGAGAGTCATCGGATTCTTCAGAGGATGTAAATGTCAGGAAAAATTTTTTCCAGGAAAATGTTGCTACCGTGCAAAATATGGGTACAACAAAAGACCTTGTACAACGAAAACGACGTAACGAAAATGCATGGAAACGAAACGTAATTAAAAATAAAAGAAATAAAGGAGAGGAATATACAAATTACAAAGGAAAAGTTATTCCTGGTAAAACTTTTGCTCCAATAATATGCGTGTGCCGAAAAAAATGTAGTGACCAGGTAACACAACAGATACAAAAAAATGTTCACGCTTAATTTTACTCATTGGACTGGAATGGTCAAACCACATATATTTGTGCTGCTGTCAAGGTGCTGACGCCTAAGAGACCAAAAGTAAAAGGACCCAACACTCCCAGTCGTAGACAACACTCTAGATACTTTTATTTTAACAAACACCATGTTTGCAAAAGTTTCTTTTTAAAAGTTTTGCAAATCTCCAATAAAAGATTGGATTATGCTTTAAATAGAAAAAGGGATCCAGATACTTCCATATGCACTCCTGATCAGAGGGGCAAAGGACCGTCGGGAAATAAAATAAAGGACGACGTCAAAGATTTTATGAAGCAGCATATTGAAAGTTTTCCCCGATACACGAGCCACTATGGGGAAAGAACATCTAGCCAGCAATATTTAGCACCTAATTTGAATCTTCAAATCATGTACACTTTATATGAAAAAAAAAAAATGCCAGGAAAGGAATGAAACTCCTGGAAAGAAAAGCTACTATGAGAGCATTTTTAGAGGCCATAACTGCATTTTTACATGCCGAAAAAAAAATACATGCAAGGCATGCGGTATTTTTCGGGTACAAACTCAAAACGAAACTAACGTTGATAAAAACCTTCAGCTTAAACAAGAGCAGAGTAATCACCATCTTCTCGCTGCCACAGCAAGGAACTTATTGAATAGCTACAAACGATCCTCTTTAGCAAATGAAAGCACATCTTGCCTAATGACTTTTGATTTACAACGTACTCTTCCAACTCCAATGGTACAAACTGGAGAGGTTTATTACATGCGTCAGTTGCAAGTGCTAAATTTTGGACTGCATCTTTATTCAGCAGTTGGCGACACAATAACAATGAATATGTGGTACGAAACAACTGGAAACAGAGGTTCCCAGGAAGTATTATCCTGTCTCTATTATAATATAAAAAATGTGTTGCCCAAAAACATAACCACGCTCTATACATTTAGTGACTCGTGCTCTGGTCAGAATCGTAATTGGAATATGCTGTTTTTTATGATGTTTGTCGTAAATTCTTGTCCAAATATTACAGAAATAGTGACCTGCTATCTTGTTAGTGGACACTCATTTCTGCCAAACGATTCTGATTTTTCAGATATTTCAAAAGCACAAAAGAAAAAAGAATGTATTTACATTCCGCAAGAGTGGATGTCTTTGGTAAAAGATTGTAGAAAAAATAATCCATACACAGTAAATGACATGGTCGGAAAATTTGTCGACTTTAATGAACTGGGAAAAATATGAATAAAGGTGGAAAAAGTACCACTGGTAATAACGTTTTGATATCAAAAATGCGAAAAATTAAATGTTTAAAAGGAGACAGTAAAATTTATTTTAACAGTGACTACTCAGATAATTACGAAAGTTTTGACTTAAATAAATGCAAAAAAAAAGAAACTTTTTTAAAACCTTACAGTTTTTTGCAAGACTGACAGAAAAAAATGCAAGACATAAAAAAGATTCTTTTATATGTTCTACCAATACATCACCCATTCTATTTAAGCTTCCCCCTTAAGCCTCGCAAGGGTCAAGCAGCCCAGGAAGAGAATAATCTACAAGGCACATTGGGTGAAGAGGAAGGAGATAATAACTAAGAATGTTAATTTATTAAGTTAAAAATTAGTTTTTTTTATCAGTATCCTTAATTCTGTTTTTTTAGCTTTAGTATTAAAAATTTAAGAATTTAGTTTTGTAAAATAAACATTTTTTAACATATTAATAATTATTATTGTAGTATTACAGATAAACCCCTTTCTGCATTACTTCGTTGACTTATTTTGCTAAAAACAGAAGTGATCTAAGTGTAAAAATGCTATGTTTTGGGACCATTTTGTTATTTTTTTTGTGCTCAAGGATACTAAAATTTTTATTTTATTTTATTGATTAACATAAAAAAAACAAAATTAATTCAAAAATAAAAGAATAACGGTTTTTTGAAGAAAAACTATTTTTCCTTATTATTGAAAACTATTCAAATATTACTTAGATCACTTCTGTTCCTGACTAGCCACTTGTTCTTTTTCAAGTGTTTTTGATTTATTTTGTACATAACCTGTTCTTTTTTTTTTCTTGATAAACATAATTAACTTATTACATTTAGATTTATCAATGTTTGATTTTAGCATCGAATATTTGGGCCACAAACTTGCTATTCGTATATTAGGTCATTTTTCGGCAATGCTTGAAAAATATGTCAAGAATACAGATTCTCAATATCGTATTATTTTTCTCTCGTCACACCATGCAATAAATTCAGCGTATGTTTTTTCGTATAACACTCTGCTTTTTTCAGACAGTAAACTTAAAGATATTTCATTTGCAGTTTCTGCAACTTCTGGTGGAGTTAAATACTCTTCGTCAATATCCATTTTTTGATTTTTAAAATACACAGAATTCTAAACAATAAAGTAAATAATGACATACAATGACAGATGGTACTAACAGCGGCTACTTTATTTTATTTTTTTAGTGGGAATATATACTTCATCTAATTCATAGATAAATAATATAATAGTAGAAATAGATAGGCAACTCAATGTATAAATTTCGTTCATTAGGCCCCTTGCGGCTGGGGTCAATACTAATCATCTTTTGGCGGCAAATTCGAATGAACACCCCTTACATATATACCCTTTAGCGCCTCTTGTGGGCTATTTCGTTACTTATTAAAATTTATTGGAATTGGAAAATAAGGATATAAGATGCACAATTTTTTCTAGATATACGTATATTTATGTGTTGTTTAAGATAAAACAGTTATAAAATAATTACATAATATTTATTACACATATTTGCAGAACTTAAATACTATTATTTTTTGCTTCCTGACAATTTACTATCATTCTTTTTGTAATTTTTCCATGATTTGTACACAACGAACAATACAATAATTCACCATATTTAGTTTTGTTACTAGCACAACACAAAAATTCTTTGCTACAATAGGTAACTCAAAATAAACTTTAAAAATTAAGTAACCAAATTTAAATTAAAATTACTAAGAATAAATGCAAACGAAAGTTAAAGATAATAAAATAAAATTGAAAACTTGTAAACAAACGGAAGATCTGTCATTAATTTGGATTGACAGAATTGACATTGCTTCGTTTGATTATTTTATTTGGTTTATGATTGGTTAAAGTCTTCGTGAGAGAGATAGGCTGTCATTTCTCTTTATTAACTCGCTGGGGTCAAAGTGATGGGGGAATGAACCAAGTCATTCATATAAGATTCCAGGCCATGATCTAATTTAGATAACGACTTCGTCATTATCTACGTCAGAGATCGAAGTTGACATAGTTGCCAAAGTATAAAAAAATCCTGACTCCATTTTAAATCAAATAGATTACATAATTATTGCAAAAGTATTTACCATCTCTTTACAACGACTATTTAAATTCTTACGTGACATTTTTGAAATAAAACACATTAATTTTGTTCTAAAAATAACAGATTTTATTAAATAGTTAAAAATATAAAACAAGAGATATTCACTTTAAAATTCAAAATAATGAAGCACAAAAAGTGTCAACACCGCAACTGTCAAATAAGTATTACCAATTTATGCCAAAATTTTACCTTCGTTCGATTACAGTTACAGTGTGTTCCGAACAAATGTTCTTGATAAAAACGCTTTATAATGCATTTATACAAATTAAATGAAACATTGTGTATTTCTTTTTAACATTAATAGAAATTTTTAAATATTTCTACGAGGATATAATAAAATATGCCTAGTGGCTGTAATGCCAGTGTACTCGGTAAAGTGATTCTAAAAAAGAACACACCTACACCCTAAATATTTTGTGTTGGTATCATGTGACGTACCAGGCTATGACGCCGATGACGTGCATCGTTATATAAATTAGATGAAGTGTAAATAGGTATGTGTTTGGTTGCCTACACCACAGGTCACTGCCAATCACAGAGTGTTTAATTAGTTTATGCAAGCAATGTATGTTGTGTTGCCTATAATGAAATCGTTCATTAATAGAAAATCATTCATGAATAGGGGCATGGACGGATAAATAAAGATTATACGTCCATGAATAGCGGTTATTAATAAATGATTTTGAGGGTGTTAAAATTGATCATAAATGGACGGTCGACGAAAAAATAATATTTACTAAACTAAACGACATATCAAGCAAAAAACACATTTTTGAAAGATTTGGACTTAGGACAGAAACTTTTGGCAAAGCCAATAATATATTAAAGTTTTTCAACAAGTCTAATGTCAAATTTTCATTTTTCAGTTGTAAAGAGGTCTGCCGATAAGCAATCAGAAACATTCGCCCAATTCGCAGGCCATGGAGTTACTCAGATAGAAATTACCAATCTGGATGAGGTGATCGCCTATGAAAAAAGTTTAATTAGCCATTAAATTGTTTAATTATTGTATTAACATAAAATTATTATATAAAAAAATTGAATAGTTGACAAGCATCACCGAAATTTCTCTTGCTTTTCTCGTATTTTATTATTTAGTTCTATGGTAAACTTCTTGTATTAGTTGTGTACGAATGATGTATTACAAAAGCTCTGTGCCATACCGCGGTGCTTATAACGAACGGTATATTGGTTTAAAGGAACTTTTGCGTACATCATTTTATTTTTAAATAGACGAAAAGTTGGTCTAAAAACAATTTTTGAATAAGGAAGTCACCAGATGTGTCAATTTCGCATAATTAATTCGGTCTTAAATTATTATTGTTTGAATTAATAAAGAACATAGTTTAGAATGATTATACATTTATTTATAACTTGTATGTGAGATATTTTGTTACATACATACAAGTCGTTTCAAAAATATCAAAAATTGTTTAGAGTCCCCCAGTAAAGTAGATAAAATTATATTACTAGTGGAAATACCAGTTTTGTGAAATAAATATATTATAAAATGCATGTAAAGTTTATGTAAATTTTATAAATAAAATAGTATTGACACTATTATAATAATTTGTGCAATATATTTCGTCAAGTGTTGTATTTAAAAGTTCCTATGGAATAAATCCCCAAAAACCTATCTTTTTTTATTTAGCCCATTTGTTCCCAAGAATAGAAAAATAAGAAAGTATTTACTTCAAATACAAATTGTGTATTATTGCTAACAATATGTTTGTCATCATTTATCAAGTAAAAAAAAATAAGTCTTTAGTTTTTCATAACAAAATATAGGGTGTTTCAAAAAAGTATGTCATAAATTAAATAACTCATTCCGAGGACAATAATAAATTGATTGAATCCAACTTACCTTAGTACAAAAGTGTACACAAAAAAAGTTACAGCCCTTTGAAGTTACAAATTAAAAATTGTTTTTTTTTGCATTACTATCTAAACGACATTTTGAAATAAAAATGGACCCGTTACTTTCTTGTTTTGAATGAAAGCATTTTTCATAAAAAAAATGACAAAATCTAAGTGTACAGAAAAATTTAAGGGGGGTGTGCAGCCCTAAATCCCCCTAAACTTTTGGGTACGTTCAAATCAAATGAATTTTGTGGCATCATTCGTTTATCATATTATTTTTAAAAAATTTTTGCCTTGTCACTTTTTTCATAAAACAGTTTTTATTGAGTTACGGCCCTTTTCATTAACCTTTAAAAAATTACGTGCAACTAAATAAATGGCTTAAATGAATTAATAAGTACAAAAAATGTCTATTCTCCATTCGCTTAGCTCGGGCATATTTTGACAGATTCATTGTTGGCAACCTACAACACCAAAATTCCTACTTCTCAGTATTAATAGCTCAAATATACTACTATTGCAGACTTCTTCCTTTTAAAAAAAGAAGAATTATTCCAAATAGTGGAAGTGTATACTAAACCCATAAAATTTTCCCTGTATATTTAAAATATATTTAAGTTGTTACAATTGAACATATTGTAGTAAATATTTGTATTATTCGCGTTGTTTATTTTAGCTAATATAGTTTTATTGTTCAATTATTTTTGTTTAATTCTTTGTTAGTTCTATTTAGTTATATTTTGAATTTTATTATTAGAGATAGTCAAAGTGTTTCATTTGTTCTATCAGATAATGCGTTGGTAAGTTTTTCTTAAATAAATATAAATATGATAAATGTTCTTTAAAAGTTAATATTTTTAGATAAGTAAGGATGCTGTTAAATTACAAGGTAATCAAACTGCACAAAGATTTATTCAAAACACCAACCATTTTTGTTTAATTATTTGCCCATTCGGCATAGGTGGATCATTAAAATATATTTATAAAATTATGTAAATATGTTCTTAATAACAAAAACATTTCAGTTAACATCCAGTTTAGTTTTACATGTCGTCAAAAATTAAATAAAAATTACAGTAATTTAATTTATATCGTAGTTGCTCCAAATGTAGGCAACCAACTTAATCTTTTTGATAGGATTTAGCTGGAGTTTCTTGAGAATATTTTTAATAAACGTTTATGTTTCAGTTAATTTATTATTTTTAAAAGTGATGATAATAATGCTGAATAAGCAATATTTCAAATGATATTTAATTACAAAACGTACTTAATATTGTGTTATTGTAAAATCCTCATAATAAAGTACGTTAGATAAAAAAGGTAAAATCCCGGGTCGTCCAAAACTAGTTTCTAATAGGAATAATAGAAGATTATGATTTGTTTTAATTATATTTTTGATGATATTGGATTATATTTTTGATGAATGATATTTTTGAATTATAATATGAATATTATGATATTTTTTATCTAACCTACTTTATAACACAATACTAAGTACGTCCTGTGATTAGATATCATTTGAAATATTGCTTATTCAGCATTATTATCATCACTTAAAAAAAATAATAAATTAACTGGAAAATATTAAATATATTCTCAAGAAACTCCAGCTAAATGCTAACAAAAAGTTTAAGTTGGTTGCCTACATTTGGCGCAACCTAACGATATAAACTAAATTACCGTAACTTTTTTATAAAACATATTTTTTATATATAATAGAAACTTCATTCTATATACATGCTATAAATTTCTAATTCATAGTATAAGTTTGCAAAAGAGGTCGACGAAATGCGCTATGAGCACGTGTACGTGGTTGTATAATAATTTCCAGCCACTTCTAGTCTGTCAAAAAGTAACTAACTTCGTAAAAACATAATTACTAAAATCACTAGACAGTTCGGACTGGCATTAGCGAACCGAGTATATATCCTCGATAAATATGATATTACAATAAATGTTCAAAATGCTCCCATTTTCTTTAATACACATTCGGTATCGTTTTAATAAGGAAAACCGAATGCGCTGAAAAATCATATTTTTCTGACGAAATTGATTTGGAGCTTCAATTATCATAACCCTCAATTGTTGTTCGTCCTCTATTGTTACAGAATACACTTTCTCTTTCATAAACTCCCAAAAGCAAAAGTCCATGGGGTTAAGACTATTACTGTAATGCGGTGGAGCGCCATATTGTTGAAACCACATATTTTGCCTTATTGCAATATTCACTTCTTGCAAATACTCTTGTAAATCGTTTGCCAAGAACTGCAAATAATTATCACCATTTAAATTGTTGGGAAGAAATACTGGGCTTATTAGATTGTTATCCACAATTCCTGCCCAAATATTAACTTTGAAAGTCCTTTGGTGATGAGTAGTTTTTTTTGGCGTGAGGATTTTCGTCGTCCCAAATGTGCTCGTTATGATTGTTTGTTATTCCATTACTACTGAAGGTAGCCTCGTCAATAAACAAAATATTTCTAATAAAATTAACATTTCGAGTGTTTTCCATTAACAACCAATCGCAAAATACAATCTTTTTAGGATAATCTTCAACCAATAACTCTTGAACCGTTGTTAAGCGATAGGGTTTAAGCAGCTGATCCTTCAACCCCTCCAAACCCTTATATGAGGAACATTTAGTTGAGCAGCTATTACCCTAGTATTTGTTTCAGGGACTTCTTCAAAGATTTCTAAAATGTCTTCATCAGTTGCATCCATTATTGGACGACCACTATTACCAGCAACTTGTGGTTAGAATATACCCGTTTCCCGTAAACGACGATCAATGGTCAGAAATAATCGTCTATCGGGTGTATTTCGACTGGAGTATTTTACTGCATAACGCCTTGCGGCTGCTGCACTATTTCCTTGACATTCACCTACGATATTCCCGATAGTTTATTGAAATCATAATTTAATCTGATCCAACTTACCCAAAGTTAAATGCATATCTGCCATTTCCTGAAATGTGTAGGCCATTGTAATATCAAAATTTTTAATATTAATCTTATTCACACGAAAAATTATTATGACTATTATTGATGGAACTGTTTGTAATTATTGTATCCGTAGAAACTGCCTGATGAACCTCTAACATGCCAACTAGCTGCAAGTCTACCAACTTTAGAATCTGAAAAATCACACTTAAAAATCAAATTTCAAGCGAAAACTTGCAAAACTTCAGCAATCAATAGACACTCCATCAACATCAAGCCGCCAAAACTCTACGCCTACGCCCTTTCAACAGCCTGGCTGTTATTTAAGTCCTGAGATACCAAGAGAAAAGGGTAGAAGCAGAATAATAATTGACACCCCAGAAAAGCTTCTTCTGGCAGAAAAACAAATCAAGAAAACCACCAACTCTAATGCTGAACGTACTAAATCTACGAAAAACAAACTACTTTTTGAAAATGAAAAGAATGAGAAGACAACTGATGATGAAAATTGCAAAACTCTGATGATAAAGTATAAATTTTTCTACTCCATCGTACCAGTTATCTCTAGTGGGGCACCTTCAGATGTTTTTGAAAAAGTGGTTTTGATTTTTTTTACAAGTATAGAGTTTAAGATCAAAAGCGTAAATAAGGTGAAAGTTGGGAGAACAATGTATTTTATTGAATATTTTCTTTCTTTATTTGGTGAGGTATTTAGAATGATATGACAGTTCAAATTTTTATGTACGAAAGAGCCCCACTCTCCCCTAAACAGGAAGGTAAATCTGAATTATCTAGATCTACTGTTTAAATAACTGTTCAATAAAAAAGTGCTACAAGTTAGTAACATAATTTATAATTATATTATACATAAATCTACTTAATGAGTTGACGTTTGAAATACATTTAAAACATTATATAATTAATATAATTATTTAGTTCTTGATAAAAAAATATGTTTGAATTTTTGTAATTTCACGTCGGTGATAATTACATTTGTCTTCATTACTTGAGGATTTGTTTCGTCGGGATGTTGAGATACTACTGTAGCTTCTTTATACAACCACCTAAAAATAATCTATTTAACACTTTTTATGTATATTTGACCAAAATAGTACCTTATTTCCTCCCCTCCATTAGGAACTTTTATGGTAATGTAACGTCTACCTGTTGCCTTCATGATTGCTTTTTCAATGTTAAATCTTAGTTGATCTAAACCTAAAAAATTATATATCATTTATAAAGTATTCAGCTCTGTCACAGCCGTTAAAAAGAAAACTTACTAAAAATAGGCGGACTCTATGTACGTATTTATTTTTTGCAAGTACTATACTATATTGTTATAATATTTATATTGATTACCGGAAAATTTGGAAAACATAAATATTTTAAGTTGTTCAGATTAGACGGTAATTAAAGACTTGTCAAAATATATTGATTAGATCAACGATACTCAAAGTGTGTTCCGCGAGAATTTAGAAAAAAATTCAAAACACGTCTCTGTGGTCGACTGTTTTGCATAGCGGCATAGCTCGATTCAAGAGGCGCAGTCGAACTTAGTTGCCTCCTACAATTTTACTACGCATGCCACTGCCCATTTCTCCTGTGAGCGCGCAGTCCTCGACGACCGCGCCTCTACAGTACACTTGTTTGACACTTAAGATAGATTCAGACACATAAGTAACGTCTCATCACAGTCCTGGCGCCGAACCGAACAATCCGTCATACAAAATATTCTTTAATAGAAATATGCCGCCGGCATTCACATTCATCAGTTGATGTACAGTTTGCCAGCTGTCAGATAGTTGATAGTTCTGTAACCAAACAGGACCGGTTCGGCGCCGAGACTGTGACGTGACTGATGTGTCTGAATCGACCTTTATACATTCGGAGCAATAAGCACCTACCTGCTATAAAAATATTTATAGAAACAAAGTGTTTATTAATTACTATGTAACAAAAAACAAAATTTGTTTAATTTACTGTTTGTATTTTGAGAACGATTTCCGAAGTGGAAATTGAAACGTCAATAAACGTATTTTTATCTTTAATTGTGGCTTATTCCCAGTTAAATAGTAATTAATTTAAAATGCCACAAGAAAATAGCTTCAGAACAATATTAAGAACAGTGTTTATTGTTCTACTGCTGTATTCTAATTGTATCAGTTTTGTACATTTCTTCTTTGGACTAAACTGTTCTGCAGTAACGGTCGTGAGTTATTTTGTTGTTTTTAACAAAGAAGAATGGAACGTTGGCTTAAAGTCGTTAGACGTGATGCAACGACATCTTCTACAGAAGGCGAATGTTCGCAAGCATAAACGATTAGGCAACGCCGCATAAATGACAGTCTCTATCTGTTCTCTTGCTCGAGGTTTCAGATAAACACATTCTCTGTACATTATACAGGATCCTGTCAACATTTATGGAAGCAGAGCCACATTGACAAATTTTCCTATTTTTTATGGACAAAAAGAACAAATTGCTAGATTTTTTCTAACAATGCGACCATTACCTGGTTAAGTGAATCATTTATTTTTAATTGTATTGTAATAGGTAAATGCTTTTACCTATTCCTAATTTAGCAGATACTGTTAAAATCTGTTGATCTTTTACATCTTTAACAAGATCACATTTATTCCCAACAGACATTATCTTGTTTGTGATATCATCACTCCCTATATCCTTTCCTAAATTTTGGATTGTTTTTAGAACATGGTCCCTTTTATATTCAAAGCAAGAACTTGACAGATCTTCTACATGCAGAATCAAATCCTACAAAAAAATTATATTTAGTTTCTTATACTGAAATATGAAATTTGAATATAATAATTAAATTTTTTTGCTAAATTAATGTCGACCTAATCAAGTGTTTAAAATATCCTCCGTTGTTAATTTAACAGTATCCTAAACGATGGTAGTCATTACATTTCTTCAAGTTTCCTAGGAATTGATATGGCTCAAAATTAGACTTTTCAAGATAGAAGCAAGTTGTGCAGTCAGCCAAGACCCACCCCGGGTTGTAGTGCTACGAGAAGAAGAAGTATCTGGGGTACCTAAAATACCCCGCCCGGTCACGGAAAGATTAATAGATAATTGGGTGTTTCCAAACTTTTGGTTCACTCTATATTTTGCGTATATGTTTAATGTGTATGAATAGATACTTACAGCTAAAATGGCATCCTCTAATGTAGCAATGAAACATTCAATGAGATCCGTAGGTATATCTGACAAGAATCCAACAGTATCTACATATAAAATTTCCAAACCAGAAGGCAAAATTCCACTGTGAACAGTAACGTCTAAAGTAGCGAATAGTTGATCCCTCGGTTGTAAAGAATCTTCTCCAGTTAATGCCTTAATTAAACAGGTTTTACCTGCATTAGTATAGCCTACCACAGCAACAACTGGATAATCCAATTTTCGTCTTTTACTCCGTAACAGTTTTCTTTGATCCCTGAGGCTATTAATAGCTTTTTTTAATTTTTGCTCCCTATTTTGAAACATTAATTTCAACGTATCCCGATCATGTGTAACAAATACTTGATTGCTTTCAGCTTTTCTTCGAATAAAATACAGTTCTGCTAATGCGACTTGTAGTTTGGCATATTTACTGGTAGCATGCATTTTTAAAATTTGCATTACTATTCTGTAGCGATCTAAAATTGGTAGCCTAAAGTTTTCATGTAAAATCTTAGCCGTTACTCTTTTTAAATTACTAGCATTTACGAAAACTGCTGATATTTCGGAATCTTTTCTGATCATTTTTGATAGTTTTTCCATATTTCCTGATCTAAATAAAGTTTTTAAATCCAAAGATTCTAGGGGTACAGTGATAGTATTAACAACTTTCCAGGATGGAAGGGTATTTACTAGCGCAATTGCTTCTTCCAACTGCTCCTCTGGAGTAATTGATAGTTTGCGAGGGCCCCATTTTACATATGGTTGTATTATCAGGCAGTTATGGACATCTTTAACACTCATAAAATTATCCACCTCCTTGTTATATTCACTGTAAAAATATATCTAATTAGAATGTTATAATTATTGTTACATAGAAATAATCATAGGTCAATAAAATCGTTAAAAACCAAATTGACTATATTTTAATAAACCACAGATACCGAAACGCAATACAATCGGTGAAAGCATACCCAGGTGCAGATGTGTAGCAAAATTCCAACTTCATTTAAAAAAGCTACAAGTGATAAACTAAACATACAAAAATTTAAATCAGAAGACGTCAAAGACAACAGTGGCAATTCTTTAAAAATACAATTATCATTTTTGAACACATTTTAATTGTTTGGACACTTTTACTAAAACTTTATGGTATGCCTTACAGTTGTTGTGTGCCACAATGCAATTCAGTTTTCAATAAAACTGACAATGTTAAGTTTCATAAATTCCCCTTGAAAAATGCTTTACAAACATTGTAAAGTTTGATCGTTTATCGCTATCAGGTCTAAAAAAAAGTATCGGTAAGGACACAAAAATCTGTTCCATGCACTTTTCAGATGAAAGTTATACCGTTAAAAAATACTTATCTTAATCTTGTACATTGTCATTGTCTTGTTTTTCTAGGACAATAAAGAATCCTTAAAAAAGATGCAGTACCTTCATTAAATTTACCAAAAAGTTGGAAACTCCAGGAAAGGACTCTGGGAAAAGTGATAAATATAGAAAAGGACTTGTGCAGCAGTTTGCCACCAAACAAACAGAAACAGTTAAGAATGATACACAAAAGTGTGGTTTAGCAGAGATACCTGCTATTGAAAATAAATCAAAGAGTTCAAAAACATGTACATATTACAACTCAAACTGTGTTAACATGGAATAGAAGTAAATTAGTTTCTTATGAATTTTTATCAGAAGAACAGTTGCAACTTTATTTTAATTATTTACATTTTTTCTTAAAGAGTTTGGAAAATCATACATTAAAATTCATAGTGCTCTTTCAGTGGAAATTAAACTGTTAATGATGCTTATGAAATATAGACTAAATTTGTTTTACTCTACGTTCAAGCATTTTTTGCAGTAGACATTCGAACTGTCTGAAAGATTGACCAAGCACTAACCCTAACCTTGTTTAACAAAAATTAACTTTTGGAACATTGCAGGAACTTCAGAACACCAGTACAAAATTATTCTTGACTATACCGAAATTTCAGTAGACTGAAGCAATGACCCTATTATACAACATGCAACATATTCTACATATTATGGAACCAATACTTTTAAAACACTAATTGCATGCTTTGAAAAAGTTAAAATTATATATGTTCTGAAAAATTACAGTAGAATGCGGAATACTAGAACTTATTGAAGAAGGAGAATTTATTTTAGCAGACAGAAGTTTTGATATATCAGATCTTTTAGAGAAAAAAGAATAAATTTAAAAAAGTTGTTCAGTTTTTAACAGAAGAAGAAATAACAAAAACAAGAGCCTATGTGATACTAAATCAAGAATCTGTTACCATTGCAGAGGTATGTTAAAGAACTCTTTAGCCGATTTAGTGTGCCCTTGGAAATCCACTCCAATCAAGGGTGAAACTTCGAGTCCACCCTTTTTCAAAACGTTTGTAAATTGATTGGTGTCAATAAGACCAGAATGACTTCACACTCTCATACTGTAATAATGCCAAAAGAAAATGATTAGTACAGTTCTCATTTCAATATTTCCAGTTAAATATTTAAAATATACTTTACCTCTCAGTTGCAAGTATGTCCTCTACAGATTCGTTTGATATATCGTCAGATTTCCTAACGATAGTCGTAGAAATCGACCTTAATTTATATATACCTCTAAATATAATCTGCAGTTTCTTTGGACTAAACATTTTAATGAAAAATACCTTTACCCCTTTGGTAAAATGTGATATAATCTGAAAACATAATTCATTATTTTTTGTACTTATAGTGTTGCCAAGCCTGAAAAGTTAAGAACAGGAAAGAACACTATCTGATTTACGGCTTCAAAAATATACTTTTTCAAATAACTTACTTTCTTAAGACATTGATATTTATAATAAAAATAAACATGAAAAGGTTGTAATTTAAATAAAAGTAAGACTGTTGTAATACCATCCGTAAACCAATATCATCAGTTTATGGGATTTGGTCTAAAATTTAAAAATTTTTGAATAATTCAAATTTAAGGTTATGTTATTGTTTTCATATTTTCCTCTTTTTTTTGGCCTTGACGAATCGCTGAAGTTATCTTTCTAACAACAAGATTGTCAAGAATCAAAAACCGCAAAGTAAATTTCCAGCTTTACTAGAGAATGCTACAATTTTTTTTAAGAGCCTGAAAAGTGAAAAAGGTATATGAAAGGAAAGATATAAAAAGAACATAAAGAATTGAAAAAAAAACATTAAAAAATAATCGGCAATTGTTGTGTATTACTTTTTATGATATTTTAAAATGAATTGATGTTTTAAAAATAAAATTTTGCTTTTTTAAGACGTCTACAAAGAAATCAAAGAACATCCCGAAAAAGAAGAATAGTTTGATTATGACTTTTCATTAGCCGCCCTGTTTTTCGTACAGACAGATTTGACAATAACGTATAATATATATTATACGTGATTTATAAAGAAATATTAAATCTTTTTTAATAAAGAATTATATATTCCATAACAACACCGTTTTTTTGTTACTTTTCGTACAGGTATCATAATAATAATCGATTAAAAAAAATTGATTTGCTAATTGTGATACTTTATTTTTTTCAATAATTAGACTTTCTAATTAATATTTTTTATATTAATTATCTATATTATTTACATTACTAACCTAATCTACTTGTTTACAAAATGTCTGATCGAAAAAAATGGCGTACACTAGTTTTTTATGAAAAGTCCTATTGATGTCCTATGTCATTTATATGAAAGGGTTAGATAAATTCTGTGGATTGTGGATTAGAGATTTTAGAGCACGGTTATTGGTGAGAGTCACGGACATAGATGAGAAGTCAAGGACTCACGTGCGAATGAAAGATGGACACGTAAATATAAATAAAAGTTTAAACATTTTTTTACTTAGTTATAAATAAACTTGCGTATGATGAAATCCTAATGTCATGCATTATTATATGTGATTGTGGGATTTACAGAAGAATCCAATGTTACAAGATTTTGTCCTCATAAATATAAGTCTCGCAATATTAGATCATATTCCTAGGCTCAGAAACAATTATTTCTACCACTTTTAATAAATGTTGTAAACATTTAAGCAAAATGGGTAGCGAAGAATTAATTCCTAGGAATTATCAAGTCCTTTTGATGAGAATATGTCTTGAGCAAAATACTATTATTTATTTACCTACGGGCTCCGGTAAAACATTTATAACCACAATGGTCTTGAAACAAAAAGGAGAGGATCTTTTAAGGTAAGTACCTACCTTTTTTAATTCCATATAAGATTTAATACAAATTTATTAATGACAAATGCTGATATTACTTGCAGAATACTGATATTGCAGAATCATTATCAACTTTTGTGGTTATACTTATCAAAAAAGGATAATAATAATCACAAGAAAATTGTCTTTGTTGAATTTTGTTTTCATTAACTAAAATTGGCACATCACTTGATTACTTGATGTTTTCTATACCTATCTTTTTGAGTAATTTTACTGAAATTCATAAATGTTTTCTATTGATAATGACAGTACATAAATATTATAAAACTAGTATATATTATGTTATAGAGCATATAGCATAGCTGAAGTGAAACTAGGTCACCGGGTCAACCAAGAACCCAAAAAAAAATGTGGAGACCAGGAGCAGACGAAGAAGAAGCATAGGGGCAGACCACTTACACTATGGACAGATCACTTAAAAAGAATCTTATGGGGAAGAAGGGGAGGCTTATGTTCCACTTTGAATGCAGAAGGCTGGAAGATGATATCTTCTTTCCAATGTCTTTTTGCCCATATTTTACATCATACTGACTATTCTTTTCTCATATAAAATTCTTTAAACAATTATTTTCCTCAATCTCTTACCATGCACTTTTACTTCTACATTACTTTCTTATTGTTTATTCAATTAACCTCCTATTCCAATTTTATTTCCTGTAGCCAATATGCCAAGATATTGGCTATGAATGATATGATACTTCATTCTGTGAAGAAACTGAAATAAAGTCAGAAGAATTTAAAAATACTCCTATAAAAGATGAGAAGTCTATAGGAATAGGCGTGTTACCCATAGAACTGATTAAATCTGGCTGTGACAAACTATTTCAAGTATTGACTTATGCATTTAATTTATTCTTGAGGGGTTAAGTGCCGCAGAATGGAAAAATGCATACATCAGCAATATTTAGAAGAAAAAAGGTGATAGAAAGGATAAAATAATCTTTATTGTGTATAACCAAACTTTATTTAATTTTTCTTTTGTTACATTTTAACAGATACAACATTTAAAAGAGATAATGTAAAGACAATTACTAAATCTGACACCTACAGACTACTTTCCTTAGTTACAGAAATCATAAGAGGTAGAAAGGTGCAATCAAAATTGTTAAGGCCTAGTTTTCATAGCCTCTTGGAAGATCTATAGATGTAGTAAAAAATTTATTATTTAATCATACATTGTATTGGCTCAATATCAGCTAAAGTTGCAAAATGCATAATCATTTTTGGATCTGATGTTTATTTTTCACTATAACTTCTACTTTTCAGATCGTATAGTGAAGGTGGTAAAATCTCTATAATCTTAGTGAATACTGTGGCACTTGTGGATCAACATGGAAGTTACATTACTAATCACACAAGCTTTTCTGTTGGAAAATATACTGGTGAGATGAATCTAGACTTCTGGCCAAGGACTAAGTGGTTTGAAGAATTTAACAAATATCAAGTATTGATAATGACATCGCAAATTTTGGATAATCTATCAAGGACTAATTTTATAGGTATGTAGATATTGTGGAAATTAAAATATTAGGTTAACTGACCTCTACTATAGAAAAAGTTATATAAATAAAATACAAATTCCCTTTTAATATAAAAATTACTTATTAACTTGCAAAAGAATGAATATTCAACACTTGGCTGCACAGTGGCACACCTAGAACTTTCCTCTAGGGGGAGAGGTTTAATATAAAAATTACTTATTAACTTGCAAAAGAATGAATATTCAACACTTGGCTGCACAGTGGCACACCTAGAACTTTCCTCTAGGGGAGAGGTTGGGCACCGAATTTTTTTTATTAGTCCTTTTACCTTCATTTTGAGTCCTTAAAATTTGTAACTAACAGTGTTGGATATATAGTGGCCTGGGGGGTTAACCCCCAAACCCCACTCCAGGGTACGCCACTGTGGCTGCAAAACAACCAATCTCCAAAATATTTTTATTGGTTTTGGTCCTGTTGGGTTAAGAAATTGCCTTTTTATCAATGCAAAAATGAATGTTTATGATCTTCGAAGAGTCATAGGAAACAATAATTGTATTCATTGTGCTATATATACTGTAGTTCCTGTAAAATTTGTGAAAGTGGAGAATGATCGTTTTGCAACTATTTTAGATAATGAGGTCCTGAAACTGTTTTCATGTAGCATGTTAAAGGTAAATATTATTTTACATGGGAGTAAACGACAATAGATTGCAATGGGAATTACATTTTACATTTTTGTTTTTGATGTAAAAAAAATTACAAAAAATGTTTTGAAAATGATTGCCAGATTGGCAATGAACCTTAAAATCAATAATTGTAGTTTGATTCCATATAAATAAAATATTTAATTTTAGATAAGATTACCTATATAAATAGATAATATGTTATCTTCTTGAATTTAATGGTATGTTTATATAAATGGACAGATTATATATATAGAAATGTTTCTTTTAATAATATTTAATGTAACTTTGGTTTATTCAACTTGTGTCAACATAGTAGGTATTATCTAGAGCCCCGATGGACTTCCTTGGAGGCCACTTGAAATGTTGACTAGACCTGCTGATCTTGGTTGAACCATAATACCAAAATTCTAGGCACTACATTCTGAGAAATCATAATTGAGATTTAATAACAACATCGTGGCCAGGGTGTGATTGTAGATACTTTATCAACTTTTATATTAATAATTCACAAACCTACCTCCAGGCTGCCCTCTAAAGATCTCGTAAGGGGAAAAATCAGAAAATATCGATTTACAAAATAAACAACTGATCGAATCCTAAGATGTGGCATATCAATTTAAAGGGGAGGATATAACGAATATATTTAGATAGAAAAAAACAAACAATAAAAGGGCCCTACACAGTATCTTCATTATTAATGATCACATAGCGACATACAAGATATCATAGAACACTATAGATAAAAATAGATTTACCATAAGACAAATTTTGATTTATTGACTTACAGAATGCATCAGGCTGAGTACAAAATAAACAACTGTTCAAAACCTAACATGCGGCATAACAAATAAAAGAGGAGGATATAACGAATATATTAGGATATAAAAAACAAACCAAAGAGACTACCAAAAGCACACTGTACATCGTCTTCGTTATTAATGAACATATAGCGACATATGACATATCACATGACACTATGGATGATAATATACATATTTGATTATATATATATATATATATATATATATATATATATATATATATATATATATATAAGGTAAATTTGCTTTATTGACCTGAAAAATGCTTCTGACTGATTACAAAAAGAACAACTAACATAATAGTACCATCTGACACATCAAATCTAACCACATTTATAAGGTATAGTAAAAAAAATTTGTCTGGTAAGAAGTACACCAGATCATACTTTATATGTACTCAGATTAAATGGAAAAAGTTTATTATTTTAAAACTTTAATGACTGACTGTAGATGACAATTGATTGGATCCCCCATCGCATGCGACGGGAAAGTTACTAGATTAATATATAAAAGGAAGAAAATTTAACAAGATATTTTAAAAGCAAAAATACATGGTTAGAGCAGCACATCTACTACGAAAAAAATTGGGGCTAGAGAGACATAATAGAACAAGTGATGTCCCAACAATCCCAACTCCTCGCCCCGCTAGCAAGTGGACAAAAGAATGGAAAGAGAAGCATTCAATTAAAATGAAAACCTACTGACAGAGGAGTAAAACTCAGTGAAAGAAAAGATGAAAAAATCTATGCGGTCCTTAGTACATCTGTGAAAAACTTCATATGTATGTAGAATATTGAAATTAAAAAAATACCATTTTATCATTGTTTATCCAAAAGGAGCAAATATCAACAGCCAGTGTAACCCAAAAAAAGAAATCCTAGCAAGAATCAAACAAGCGAGGAAAATACTCATGAACATGAAAACATTTTTTACAAGATAATACCTTGCTCTGGGGCTCAGAATCCAAATCGTCAGATGTTTTTTCCGGTGTTTGTTCGTAGTAGTAATACTACGGCAATTAGTTTAAGTTCGCAAGGTTTAAAATACCGGCGAATGTAGACGCTGATCTCAATGTCTTTATTTTTGTTGATATGATAATACTATTTCACAGATATACAATTACATATTTTGTACTTCTACAGTTCTTTTTGTGTCGCAAAGAAGTTTAAAGTGAATGAGTCAACTGTAAGGACTGTTAAAAAGAGTGGGACAACCATTCATTGCAGTGTTTTGCATGGCACTAGTTCAAGCAACAAAGTAACTTGTTTTTCGCGATCTCAAACCTTGGAAAAAAATGGAAAAAGCACTGGCCGTTTGAATCGAAGGCCAAACAAAAAAGAGAGTCAATTAGAACACGAATAATACAAGAAAAGAATCTTCTAGTTTCCAAGTGAGTAAAGGATGGTTTGAAAGATTTAAAAAAAGAGTTTCTTTACATAACGTCAAAATCGTATGAAAATCAGCTTCAACGGACCAAGACATGGCCAACCATTATCCACCTAAACTTAAAAAATGTATATAAAGAAGAACATATATACAATATTATCATCTGCTTAAAAACTTCAGGATATGGTTGACGTGGATCCTTCTATGGAAAGGAGCTTAAAATTCAAAAATGGCTTAGAAGGCTTATTGGCACTGTACAAAGAAGCGTAAAAGGAAATTAGGAAGAAAATGAAGCAGCCAACCATCCTGTCATATTTTAAGAAATGAAGTTTCATTTATATATAATATACATCTTTATATCACATCTTTAGTTTAATTGAAATTTTACCAAAAACAGGATTGGGTCGGAACCGATGTCCGCCCTGGGATATGTTTTAACTCCCTTGATTCCATTTCTATAACGTTTGTCAATTAATATATAATCAATCTGGTTTCTTATTATGCGGTTTTGATTATCGCCAGGTGCTTTTCATGTATATAATCTTCTTTTTGGTTGTTTAAACCAGGTGTTTCACCATCATTAGATTTTCTTCGTGGCAAAATTGCCTTCACCTACTTTGGCATTAAAATCTCCCATAATAATGTTTACAGCATTTTTCTTTGTGATCTTCATTAACTGTTTGATCTCTTGGTAGAATTCTCGTACTTCTCTTTTTGGTTTTTCTGTTGTAGGAGCATATACTTGAATAAAGTTGATATTACAAGGAGTGGTATTAATTTGCAGCATAGCTACTCTATCAGATATAGGGGTATAAAGTTCTGTATATGTTTATACAGAACATATATTACAAGCATAGTATATTACATGGTTATCAATATTTGTTTGTCCAGATCCAGGCTATCTAAGTTCACTGACTTAGTTACGAAAGTTTTTTATTTGAATTTGACTATATGTAAATTATGTTTAATTTATTTTTAGATTTGAACCAAGTTAATTTGTTGGTTTTTGATGAATGTCATCGAGGTGTAAATGATCATACCATGAGAAATTTAATGAAACGGTTTGAACATTTAAGTGATCCTCCGAGAGTTATTGGCCTCACAGCGACTCTGTTAAACGGCAATTGCCAACCACACGAGGTCTTACCGAAAATCAGAAGTTTAGAAACAACGTTTCATAGTAAAGTTGCCACAGTAGAAGAACTTAAAGATGTTATTGGGTAAGCTGTATAAACTGTTACTTTTTTATAATAGTTTCTGAAAATCCTAATAATGTATAAACTATTATTGTATTGAATATTTTGAATTCAAATATATTTAAAAGTCACATTTTTATCTGCCAATATCTCCTGAATTTGATTATAGTGCGTTGCAAATTCTAATAAATCGAAAAACCCAATACTTTGTGTAGTCTCGCCTTATTATAAAATGACTGTATAACAACGAGAAATATTCCAGTTGTCAGACAGGAAAATGCCACTGAACCTCTAAAAATCATACGAACAAGCTAAATAACGAGATATCTTGTAGGCGGAAAATGAAAAAAGAACCGATTTACCATGAATATGTACGCCATAGAAAAAAATGTTTCTCATAAGAAATGTAGCTGAGATAATTTTTAACAATAATGTGTAACAATTTTTATTTGCCTACCATGTTGGGTGCCAGTTGTAACAATAGATAATTGCTTATAGGGGGTTCAAAGGGGGAACTGAACAATTACTGGGCTTGGAGATAGGCTAAGCAAATAAATTGAAACGTTAGGGAACGGCTACTCGTGTTTAGGTTGGAGGGCTAGGTCGTGGATAAAGGTCTCTTTATTTGAGGGACTGGGAGGAACTAACTACAATTAATAAAAAAATTACTAACAGAGTTGTCCTGGGCAACAATACACAAGAAAATTCATTTTAAATGAACTATTTAAAATGGACCCCCTTTCAAATAAAAAAAATATTCTTGCAGTGTTGGCTCGTGGCTTTAGAGACAAGGTCAGCAAGGTTTTTTTGTCTCAGATAGGTATACAGTCTAATAAAAAGACCAATCATCAGAGCAGATTTTTTATTTTTTCCTATAAATGTAGAACCTAAACATGTTTATAAATGAACTCTAATCTACGTTGTTTGGAAATAGCAAAATGAGTTATAACGTCATCGTAAAATTTGTTAGAGTTTTGGAGAGATTTTAAAAGTTTTTTTCTATTGAAATTCTTTTTCTATTTGAGATAAGCTTGACATTCTCTCTTGTTTCATGGTGTTTCGGCAATACGTTTTGATTCTTTTGAGACAAGAAAAATCTCGTTGATTTGAGGCAGAATTTTCTAATTTATCCCACGTTCCGAAAATATTTGGATCAGCATATAAAACTTTTAATATATTTTCTAATTTTATTTTATTAAAGAATGGTGGATAATTTTTAATTAACCTGTCTAATAAATATCTTGGAAATTCTTTGGCGTAACTTTTAAATTTTGAATCGCCAAAGAGTTCAAAAATTTGCAAATCTTTAAGATTCGAAAAACGAGTATCTATTTGCATAATAATAGTACCCTGATGGAATGGAACCCTGATTTTGGACCTTCCTCTGTTGATATTCGACTATATCTAGAGTCGATTGGTTGCTATATAATGTCTCATAGAATGATTCCACAATTTGTAACAAATGTTCTCTGTTTGATGTGATGTTGCGATTTCTATCCTTGAGTTTGACTATTTGTTTATTTCCATTTGTGAGTTTGCGTCTCATTATTTTCATACTCTTATTTTCCTCAATGGTTTTGATGATTTTCTCATCTTTGTATTTTCTTAAGTCTTTTCTGATTTCTCTTGATACTTCCTTGTTTATTCTATTTATATCGTCGTTACTAGAGTTTTCGTCGCTTCTCGGTATTCTTCTTTGTTCCATTTTTTTCTGTGTTTCCAGACTAATTTTTTCTTCTTTCACGCTTTTTGGGCAGCATTTCTTTTGAGCTTCTGTTATTGCTTCTACTATTATGTCATTTAGAATGTTAATATCATTTGTTGATGATTTTTCTTGAAGGAATTTACCGATATGATCTTCAAAATTTTGTTCGTTGTTTGGATGTGTCCACTGTCACATCTGTGAATATGTATTTTTTATCAGTGATAAAGTAATCGATCTCGTTTGTCGTGTTCCCATCTGGGCTTTTCCACGTCCATCTGCGGTGAGGTTTCTTGTAGTAGTAACTGTTCATTAGGAATAGGTTTTTCTCTAGTAGCAAGTTTAAAAGAGTGTCGCCACGGTCGTTCCGTCCCTGACTTCCAAAATTTTCAAGAGCAGTTTCTGCTAGATCCAGTTTTGTTCCTATTTTGGCGTTAAAGTCTCCACATATAACTGTGAAATGTGTGCGGTTGTTTGTGATGGCTGTACTTAAATCATCATAAAAGACTTCGAGTTACCTAAGTACTTATCCATCCCGAAATAACATTTCATCCTGCGCTCGCAATGTACAATTCGCGACCAATGACCAATCCAAATGAAGATTCGGCAAATTTAAATTTGCCGTACTTTGCAATTAAATTCATATGGAGAAAAATGTATGTTTGTTTGCTCATCAACTAATATTCCGTTGATTTTTACATGTAAATCGTCAAGCTTGCGATCGGCTTGTCGAAACCCCAAAACGTGTCTTTTGAAGAATTCACACAGGCGGATGGATATCTCTGATTTCGGATCATTAATTTGAAAAGTGTCTTACGCAGGGCTCACTTAGTTTGACGAATTCTTTTAGAAACCATGAATAAAATTTAGTTTTTATTATCCCACAGATATGTATTATTTCACAGAAACAAATGACATCAACTGATTACCTGCCACAATTAATTATCAAAATACTGATTAAATTAAATATTAAAAAAAAATCTATAATATCTATAAAGGCCGCCACTGCTTGAGCCCTTGTCAGGGCCTGGTGACACTCTAAATATTATTAGCTTGCTGTCGGCTTATACCTATATTATATACTTATTTTAAATGTATTTAGAGAGCATTTAAAAATACTCCTCCGACTGCAATATTATTTTTTTTTAATTTTAGCTACTCTACAAACCCTCACGAAGTTGTCGTTGGATTTGATAAACACCGTCTCCAAATGGATGAACTATTTGCAAAAGCTAGATTAGAGAAAATCATGTTAAATTTGTCAAATGTAATGGGAAATCCAATTCCGATTAATCTAACTCTAAAGGGATTAGTGCCGATACGTGTAGAAGAAGGACAAAAACGGTTGATAAATCTTCTTAAAGATTTAGTGTATCATATTGAAACCATGGGGATATATGGTGGAGCAAAAGCTTGTCAAGTGAATATTATAAAAATTGAAAGGTAATGTTATATTTATTTTATTTTAATTTAGTTAAATTATCATCGGCACAACAATTCTTAATGAATCTTGGTCTGTTCTAAGATGTTTCTCCATTTCAACATCTTATTTTTTATATTTTTCTTTGATTTTTCATCTATGGTAGAAACCTTTTGAAATTCTACTAGTATAGTATTTATTTTTCATGTCAAGTTTCCTTGACGTTGACGACTGTCATGATTTTCGAAATAATACAAAAGCTTAGAAACTCCTTCCCAACAACTTAATAGATCTTTCTTCTTCTTCTTTACGTGCTATCTCCCTGACGGAGGTTGGCAATCATCATGGCTATTCTGATCTTAGATGTTGCCGCTATGAATAGTTCGATTGATCAAGTTACGCAACCATGAGATTCTTCTCCTTCCTACACTTCTCTTGCCCTGGATTTTCCCTTGTATAATTAATTGAAGTATGTTGTATCTCTCATTACATGCTTGGTCCATGATATCTTCAGGATTTTTCTATACACCCACAGTTCAAATGCTTTCAACTTTTCAGTAGTTGACGCATTAAATGTCCATGCTTCTATCCCGTAAAGCAGAGTCGAGAAAATATAACACCTTGCTAGCCTAACTTTGTCTAATTTCAGTTCTCTTGCACAAAGTACCTTTCTTATTTTATTGCAGTTTTTTCGTGCTTTCTCTATTCGAACTTTGATTTCTTTGGAGTAATCCTTTGTATGATTTTGTAGTACCGTATTAAAGGTTCCCAAGGATATCCCAAGAGAGTCAAGGATGGAAAAGACATTGCAAGTAACGGCCCCTAGTCCTAGACAGGCCTTAAGTGGCCAAGGGGTGCTAAGAATCTGTGCGAAGAAAAACAATGCTCTGCTGTCCAGATTCGATGTTCCTTGGCCCATTTCAAACGATGCAATCTTTGCTTTTCTGAAAGCAGTGATTTCTTCTGTGCCTTACAACTTCTAATTTCAAAACTAAGCAGTATTTTTCTCACAGTGGCAGTGCACACGCTGACACCTGTAAATTCAGACTACAGCTGGGTAGAGTTAAGGCTTCTGTCTGCCAGACTTGTTCTTCTTAACGCAGCGTCATCCCAAACAGAAATTTTCTTTGGTCGGCCACTAAGCGGTCTGTCGTCGATTTTTCCTTGTTCAGCGTACTTCTTAATGACTCTAATTAGTGTAGATTGATTACAGTTTACTGCGGCTGCAATTTCGCGACTAGATTTGTCGTTTTTATGGTGAAAAATAATTTCAAAATGCTTTTCGTCCGATAATTTAGTTTGTTTGGTCTGGGATGACATTTTGACCTTTTTATCAAAATCAATGAGCGAATAAATGTGTTAGAATAAATTTGTCATTAAGATTCAATTTAATAGTACTTTAACGACTTAATAATCACCTCATAATTTTATCGGATTATGGGAAATCCCTTCAATCAGATTATTTTAATCTTTTCTGTGGAATTTTGAGCTAGTAATTAAAAAAAACCTTAGTAAGTATACCAATAATGCTAATTACAAGCACAAACTTATAATGAATTAGCGAAAATTTACAAAAAACTTGTGTTAAACCTCAAAAACTATAAGACGCTTAGGTGACGCAGGACTTTTTAACACCACTGTATTTCTATTCATGTATTCTATCCACATTCTTTCCACAATTTTTGTAAAAGTTAGTTAATATTTTATTTTATGTTTAGGTTTTTAATTTTAGGTTGAAGAAACATTGTGACGACATGAGGCTTTCCATGATCTTTGATTCTGTGCAGACCATGCTTGGATTTATAACTCTAAAGTTGCAGAAACGGATGACGGGTTTATCAGAAAGGGAGCAGATTTATCAGTATTCTTCAGATCAAATTAAACAATTGATTAATATATTTAATCAGTCCAAAAAAATAAAGGGAACCGATGAATTATGTTGCATAGTATTTACACAGAGAAGATCTACCGCACAAATTTTATTTCACATTTTCAAAGCGTTAAGTCGAAGTGATCCCGAATATAATTACATCAAATCCAATTTTATAGTAGGACATAATAGTAATCCTTATAATGATACTAGGGAATTGTTATACTTACATAAAAAAAACAAACAAGTGAGTTAAATATTTTCTAAATTTTTATCTAATGTCTCTACTTAATGGGTATCACAGGAAGTTCTTTTAAGCAAATAAGTAGGCTTTTAGATAAAAAAGTTTTGCAATCAAATTTCCTACAAGTTCAAAGGCTATAGCACGGATCTACCTCGCTCTAGGTGCTTGGTCAACAAAAGGTTGTCAAATAATTATATTATAAAAATCCAATACTTCAGCGGGCTGCTGGATTCTGAACTCGTTCAAAAACAAGTCAAAACTCCACCCACAAAAGTTGCCCCGCCCGTCACATAGAAAAATTGAAAGCTACACTTGTACATTTCAGCAGTGTTGCCAACCGGAGGAAAATGTTCGTTATTTATTTATTTTTGTCACGTTTGATGAGAGAAATCACATGCCATGAAATTCGATCAATAACGAATTCAATAACGACGTATTTCAGTTGAGTCAATTTATCTTTACCCGTGCGTCATGATTTAAAGCATACAAAATCAGTCGGAAATTTACTCAACGTAACAGCAAGTGACAGAAAGTGGTTATGACAATCTGTGTGAATAAGGTTAACTTTAAGGAAAATTAAGGGCAAAATAAAATACACTTACCATAAAATTTTCAACTGCAATATAAAGTTAGTTGTGAAAATAACTGTTTGTGTAATATAAATAATTCCAAAATGTAAAAACAGGACAAAAAATAGCAAAATAGTCGACAAACTGACAGCCACAAAAGTAAACAAACCAGAAACGTCAAAAATTGTACTTACAATCTGAAAACGTCCATATACAATATGATATATAAAAATAGATTTCCTTTAAGACAAATTTTGATTTATTGACTTAAAGAAGGCCTCTGGCTGAGTACAAAATTAATTGATCGAATCCTAACATGCGATATAAATCTTCTCAGCTATTTAATATTCTGTTTTAAAAGTTTCAAGAAAGTTATGTTAAGTTTTTTAAGTTTAAAATTTAAGTTTTGTTTTTAATACTAAAGCATGAAGAATCAAACCAAAGCTGGATTTTAGGAGGCCTGTTATATAGTTTCTGCAAATAAGGTAGTACTCAAATTCTTGCAGAATATAAAATAGTAGAATATATGTTACACCCAGCTAAGATACCTACTCACAGACAGGAACAGTAACAGTCGAATCATAATTTTGAAAGACAAAATCAGATTCCACTTTCAGACAACGATGGCAAAGTGATAGCATATATCGCTGTTTCGGAAGTATAATGACATAACCGTAAAATTTTGAGAAAAATATTGTGTTGGAGAGATCAAATCTGCATTTTCAACATATTTGTAAATCATCATAATTGTACTTACGAATTTCGCCATGACCGGTGATTCCGTAAGTACAGTTATGATGATTTAAAAATATAAAAAATGCAGTTTTAAGCCATCCAACACAATAAAGTCATTTTTCAAAATTTTATAATTATGTGTTAACACTTCTCGAACAGCGATATATTGATTTCCAAGGACGTAGAAATTCTTTATGATATCAAGCTTATCTCTACTGCAGATCCACAAGTACTACTTAGTACAAATCTATTTCACTTTGACTTAATGAACTTTGGGAGAATGATTAGTTTAGAGCACTTCAACATAACCAAATATATTTTCTCTTTTTGAAGAACTTCCATAATAATTATTTTATTATAAATTTGAAATATTCTTTGAAATTGATAGAATATTTTAAATCTTTCAACAGCGGCATTTTTTATTGCGCACGAACCTAGGAGTGGATTCAAAATTGGAACCGTAAAAGTGCGAGAGTGAACCTACTCAACCTTGAGCGGTGTTGCCAATTTTATTCCTCTAGATGTTTCTCAAATAAGGTGTTAACCTAACATAAAATATTTACAGGAAAGAAAGGCAATAACTATAAACCCTTAAGTTTATTTTTGTTATTAGTCTGTTGTAGTAGATTGGTAAATACAATGAAAAATATAGGCAAATATCCGATTTATTTAAAGATACGAAGAAGATATAACTCTCAAAAAGATCTGCAAATCGGATTATTACACGGCGATTGGCAACATTGATTTTGGGTGGAGCTCTAGACTATGGTGCGTCCTACAAGGAACAGATAGTTGAACGATATTTTATACAATGCCTATCACCGGGTATGGATTTATTTTTGTCCAAATTTTATATCGGTCCACTAGTTCAAATGCAGTTTAAACAGACATATTAAATTGTATGATCCGTTTTAAATTCGTTCAATCAATATACAAACATGACTTCATACACATTTTTAGCTGCCCAGAGGCCATAGAACCTCTTAAATCTAAAAAAGGAGCTTTTTTCGACTTTAATTTTTCCGAACGCAATTTTGCTTTAAAAAATCTGAAAAGATTCATGTATCTTTGTTATACAAAATAATCAAATTTTTTTCAAATTTTTGTATTGAAAATTGAGCCTAGGAAAAATTTTTGGCTAACTTTTAAATAGTAATTTTTATGTATTTTCTTTTTCGTTCTTTAGAATGACCAAGGCAGAATTTTCAATTTCTGAGCGGAAAGCATCGAATCAAAAAAACCGTTTTTTTTTTCACTTATTTATTTGCACATACGTGTCGGTCAGATAGCTCAGCGGGCTGTGCGGCTGCCTCTCATTCGCTTCACTGTCGAATGGTTCAGTGGATGTGGGTTCGAGCCCCAGCTCGGTGTACTGAAAACAAAAAGTCTAACGCAGCAGTTTAAAATTCTAGATAAATCTGCGGCTTAGACTGTTTGTTAATTTAAAAATGTTTTGTTGAGGTGATAAAAAGAACCATCAGCTTTATTGCTACATATGGAAAATTGGAGTGTTTTTTTAATTTTAAATCACCTCTATATAAAAATAAAATGCCCGCGGCAATGCTTACACAAAAATTCAAGAGGAAATGGGTGAAGGTATTACTATAAAGGAGATAAAGGCCAAATTAAAAAAGTGCTCCAAGATTTTCTCGCCTACCAATCCAATTTTTCACCCAAATTTTTCTCTTTTTTGAGTACAGCTTCAGATTCATTATTAATGGATCCCATTTTTTTGTTGAAAACTGAAAAACTTTGAATTACAAAACAAGTCCTTTAGTTTTAGATGAAAACCACTTGATTGTTTACCAGCACTGGCACGTCTAAAAATCTACCTTGCTTTTTCGCCTTGCCAGTATATGCAACAAGGCAACTGGCAAATGTGTTTTGTGCTTGCCAGTTACTGGCCTATGCCAGCTACTTTCCCAATTTACTGGCATGTGTATCCGGCACTAAAATTGTGTGTAGTGCTTTTTACATTAAAAAAATATTTTCTGGTTAAATTTTGAGTGTTCTATGTGGCTTTTGAGTGTTCTATGATAAGAATTACTATAAACGCCAAAAAAACGAAGTACATGCTGATTACAAAAAGGCCACAAAATATACATCACCTATTGACAATAAATGGTAACGTGATAGAACAAGTAGAAAAATATCAGTATTTGGGAACTTTGATCAATGAAACCAATGATCATACTGTAGAAATAAACAGACGAATAGAGATTGCCAGATCAGCATTTATACGAATGAAGCCACTCCTAACGTGCAAAAATCTAAATTTGGAGATCAGACTACGTACCATTCGCTGTTATATATTTTCAATATTATTATATGGAGCTGAGACTTGGACATTAAAAAAAATGTAATTTAAAAAGAATCGAGGCCTTCGAACTCTGGTTATACCGCAGAGTATTGAAAATATCATGGACTGATAGAATTACAAATAAAGAAGTACTGGAGAGGGTTGGTAAAGAAACAGAACTAATCACCACTATACAAACCAGAAAACTGGAATACCTAGGCCACGTGATGAGGGGACCAAAATATGAAATTTTGAGACTGATAATACAGGGAAACATTCAAGGAAGAAGATCTGTTGGCCGAAGGCAGAACTCATGGTTAAAGAATCTACGTGATTGGTACCAATGCAGATCGATTGATTTGTTTAGAGCAGCAAGTTCTAAAATAAAAATAGCCATTATGATTGCCAACCTCCGTAGGGAGACGGCACTCTAAGAAGAAGAAGATGTGGCTTTTAAATACCTGAAAAAGATTATTGAAAAAACATTGATTTTTGATACTTTTTTTTTAATAGTTTTTAGCAATTTTTGAATGATAATTATTTTTTCAATTTGCAATCCAATTCGATCTTCTAGAATTTGATTTCAAAACTTTTTTTTCCTTTCAATTTTTTTCTAAAATTCATAGCTGCCGAGATATTGCAACGAAAAGGAGGGAAAAAAATGATTTAAATTTTTTTTCATAAATTGTTTAATAAAATATTTAGGGAAACTTTTGAAGTGTCTGTGATATTTCGAAGCGATTAAAGCAAAAAAAAACAAGGATCACATACGATTTACCCAAATGAATGTGTTTTGGAATATATACACCTGAACTATCTGGGATGATAGCACATATATTTCTCCAGCTTGGCAAATGCCATCACTTGATAGGTCTTAATCATCCAGCTGTTGATAGCGGTTTAGTAGTGGGATAAGGTCTCGAAGTAATCTTATAGTTGATGTTTTCTTTAACATATTATATACAATCCTCAATGTTTTTGTCTTTTCATGAATTATATGATAAAAAAGTTAAATAATATTGAATGTTACAGATTTTAAACGATTTCACAAACAAAGAAATCAACCTTTTGGTATCATCTAACGTTTTGGAAGAGGGTGTAGATGTGCCCAAATGTAGTCTAGTTATAAAATATGACTGCCCGATGGATTACAGGTCCTATGTTCAATCAAAAGGAAGAGCTCGACACAAAGAAAGTTTTTACTATGTAATGGTTGATTATGAGAATTTCAAAAGCTTCGATAGAAGAGTAAATGGCTATAAAACAATCGAAGACATGTTAAATCAGGTAAGTTAATGAAATTTATTTCTGATTTTTTAATTACTTTAAAAAATGAGAATTTGAACCAAAAATCCAAAACTTTACTTTTTAAAACATTTAAAAAAGCTTCACAAGCCGGAATTGTACCTCAAGTCTTTCAAAAAGTTAGTAAGAGATCGTTTAAGCTCGGCTTAATTAATGGTAGCGTCTTGTGGTAGCTTTTCCAAAATTCGATTGGGGTTGAATGGGGCAATGCCACATGCTTCAAAACGACTACAAAACACTTTTCTCTCCGTCTGAAGAATAAACTGACAAACCAATCATTGAATGTTGATATATCAATCCAACCATGGGAGGTTCAATTATATCGTGTCCCCAGTGAGCAGCATGGCTGTTCGTAGCATGGGCTGCCCTTGGGACCATTTTCTGTCCAAGTATCCCATAAATTTTCGATGTAGCAGATTTTGAGATACTTTGCTAGAGTGTGTTCGAATCAAAGCAATCATATATATAAGCTAATTAACAAACCCTATAATTGTGAGCCTAACAATAAATACCACACACATTACCTCAAATTTTACTTCCACTTTCACGATCTGTTGATTTTTCTATAACAGATACTCATATACTGCCATCAACTCCTCCTTGGATTAATAACATACCAAAAATTAACCTTTCGCTTAATAATTATCACAAAAATAAAACCAATTGCTAAATTCTGAGGCAATATTTCCTAGAGCTGGTAGGGTGGATATTCTGTAACAACTTCAAATAATATCATTCAGAAGTTCTGCCTTCCACAATTTACCTCTATCCATACAGAAGAGTTGTACGCCATCGTACAAGCATTAAAAAGCTTATGTAACCAAACCAAAACCAAGAATACTGCAACACTGTTCACGTTTTTTCAACCACTGCATCCAGCGTTTACGTTGTACTCGCCGTTTTGTAGCTAATGCTATAAATATAGCAACACAAGCGGTTTTATGCGGATAAATGTATATAACAGAAACCACCACAATACTCATGGAAAGTACTCAAATTAAAATGATTGTGTAAGGTTGACGAATAATGATAACACTGAAAACTTTGTTTTCAAAACTTTCACAAAATTTATTATAAACTGTTATTACTACAGCTGTTTCGGCTGATTGCCTTTCTCAAGTGATTTATTTTTGGCATGCGTTTACACTTTATAGTCTTTAATGGAATAGGTTGAGGAGGGGAGAACTGTTTGTCTCAAGTTGGTCATTCAGAATTATATCTTAATTACTATTTATAACTGGGAATAAGCCACAATTAAAGATAAAAAATACGTTTATTGACGTTTCAATTTCCAATTCGGAAATCGTTCTCAAAATACAAACAGTAAATTTACTGTTTGTATTTTGAGAACGATTTCCGAATTGGAAATTGAAACGTCAATAAACGTATTTTTTATCTTTAATTGTGGCTTATTCCCAGTTATAAATAGTAATTAATTTACAATCATCATCATCATCTTTGGCTCGACAATCCTCTGTGGATCTTGGCCTGCTCTAAGATTCGTCGCCATTCTGTTCGGTTTTTGGCAACATGTTGCCATCTTCTGATTTTTAATATTCGTAGGTCGGTTTCTACTCCATCTAACCACCTAATTCGCGGTCGGCCTTTGCTTCTTGTTCCTACAGGTGTTCCTGTGGTTAGCTTTTTAGCAATGGTATTTTCTGGCATTCGTATTATGTGTCCAGCCCATCTAAGTCGCTGTGTTTTAATGAACGTTATAATTAATTTACAATGCCACAAGAAAATAGCTTCAGAACAGAATTATATCTGTTTTTTAATTTGTTAAGTTCCATAGATTCTAACAAAGATAGCTTAAGGCCTTTATTTTGAATGTGAAGATTATGATCTAGAAGGTGAAGTGCGTATGTAGAATCTGTTTTTCTATTATTGAAAGCCCTTTTATGTTCTGCTATTCGTTTATTAAAATTTCTACCAGTTTGACCGATGTAAGTTTTTGGGCAGTCGCCACATTTAAGTTTGTATACACCACTGTGTAAGTGCTTTTTATTTTGGCTCTTGTTGTTTTTAATATATTTGCCTAAGTTATTATTTGTTCTGAAAGCTGGTGTTATTGCTTTCTTTTTTATGTGTTTGGCTATTTTTGTTGATATTTTGCCTGTATATGTAATCGAGCTGAAAGTACTGGGTTTTTTTCCCTGTTGGTGGAAATACTAATTTCAGAGCTTTCTTGTGTAGTTTTTAATTTAAAATTTTATTGTTTGTTCATTGTATCCATTGTTTACATTGTAAATTCAATATGACTATGAAGTGAATTAATATACGATAAAAATTGGTCGAGTTGCCTGTTAGTTCCTGTGAAACATACCAGTACGTCGTTTACGTATCTCCACCAATATAAAAACTGTTTGAATATGGGATGTTTTGAAATCTTTGTCTCTAGATGATCCATAAAAATATCTGATAGTAATGGGCTTAGAGGATTGCCCATTATAAGTCCTGCACTGTTATTTGTATATATTTGATTATTAAATTCAAAGTAGTCCTAATTTATGCAAATTTCAAGAAGATATAAAATTTCAGATGTAATGATTGGATTTGTATTATTTTGCTCTAAAAGGTTTTTTACTAGAATAAGTTTCTGTAGGAGGAATACTAGGAATACTTTTTACGTCAAATGAAATTAATCTGGAGTTGTTAGGTAATTGAAAATGTTTTATTTTATTAACTAGTTCTATTGTATTTTTTATGGTAAATTTAGGTGAAAATTTAGTGTGTTCTCAAATAATCTCTGACAGTTTTTTTTGAAAGTTTATATGACGGAGCTGTATAAAAAGAAACTGCAGGTCTTATTGGGTGATCCGGTTTGTGTAGTTTAATAAAAGAGTATAATTTAGGAGGCTGTGGGTTCATGATATTGAGGTATTTCTGTTCTGTTGGATTTACTATTGATTTTGAATTTTCTAACGCTAGCTTAATTTGTTTCTGATAGTTTTCTGTCGAATCTTTGTGTAACGTTTCAATATTTTGATTATTTAAAAATTCTATTGTTTTGTTATTATATTCTATTTTATCTATAGCAATAGTAGTGTTACCTTTGTCCGCTTTTGTAAACACTATGTTGTTTTCTATTGATTTATTTTTAATTGAAATGACTGTTTTATTCTCTTTGTAAAAGGAATTTTTGGTTTCAGTACACACATCTTTAATAGATTTTGCAATTATACTTTTTTCGATATTGTTAGCAGTTTTGTTTAATGCTACTTCACATTCTACACCTAAATATTCTAAAGTTTTCTGATTATTATGTTGGAAGTTTTGAAAACGAAGTTTTCAGTGTTTTATTGTTACATAAAATGAACTTCCATCAAGTAACGGTCGAATCCATCAATTATTTGAATAATGATAATGTGAAATGAAGTTTTTTGCAAGTAATGTCATTATTAAAGATCGTATATGGGCCGCATAACTGGCCTAGTAGAAAATGGTATCCATCAATACGATAGGCGAAAATTATTTTTGATATAGAGCTTTTTTTATTTCAGTTTTTGGTTTATAATAAATATAATGAGGCAAAAGTTAATCTATTGCAAAAAAAGTAAAACTACAAAAACTACAAACCGACCTGTTCTAGCTTTACCTCTGAAAATAATCCATTATTAAGTTAATGGACCATTTTTTTACTTTAGGAACTAATCCTGGGGTTATTTGTAGTATTTGATTGGAAAGAATTCCGAGAGAGAAGAGATTTCAGAAGAAGCTCTCCAAGCATTGTACAACGAAGATGAAATTCCTCCTTATTATGTTAAACCAGGTGGTGCTTGCGTTACGATGTTATCAGCAATATCTTTGCTATGCCAGTATTGCACAAGCCTTGCTTCCGATATGTACAGTGAGGCCGCTCCCGAGTGGTATAAGAAAGAGAATTTGGGGAAAACCGCTGTTGTTATCCTGCTACCCACTGGTTCTAAAATTCTGGATGAAATTCAGGTATTTATGACATTTTTTTAAATTAAAATTTCATTTTTGTTGATGAAAATTATGCTTATAATTATTTAAATAGTAAATATTTTTACCAGCCGTTATGGGATAATGAATTTCACAAAATGTGACACTTCGAAAGGACACAGTCCTTTCGTCCTTCGAATTGTATATCTCTTTCTGTTTCTTTACCATCAGCATGGGACTCTGCAGCGATGCAAAGAATAATCGATCCCGTGAAGAAAGACGGAATGCCTTATCAAACTGCTGCTAAAACTTACAATGTGCCTAGAAACACACTAAAACGTCGCGTACTAAATAAAAATTGAGACGCCACTGGCAATAAAAAAGTATTAGGCCATTTTAGAGCTGTTATCAACGAGGACAAAAACAAAATCCATATTGTATAATGCTACGAAAAACATTAAGAGTGATAGAGAAGAAAAAAGGAAACAATGGATAACAGACTCCACGTGGACTAAAATACAGGAGAGGAAGTGCTTAAAAGCCACAGGACTGAACAGTGAAAGTGATAAAGAGGCCTATAAAGCGCTGAACGGTCAAATAAAACGACTCTGCAAAAAGGACAAGAACACACACTTGAACAAAATCTGCATGGAAATAGAAGGGCATAAAACCAAAACTAAGACCAGAGACATGTTTAAAAAAATAAAGCAGATAACACGTTCCTTTACACCAAACTACCTTGCTATCAAAGATGATAACGGAACTCTACTCACTTCTAAAAAAGATATTTTACACAGATGGAAAGAATACTGTGGACGACTGATGCTGGAGGAAAGCACAGACGCCCCATCACAACAAGAAGATGCCAGTTTTGCGACGGAACCTGACGTACTCAAAAGTGAAGTTGAAGCAGCAATTATGAGGCAAAAAAGTCAGAAAGCTGCCGGTCCAGATAACATACCTATTGAAATGATTTGGGCCCTAGATGACGTTGGAGTGGATATAATACATCAAATTTGTCAAAGAGTGTGGGAGACAGGTAAATGACCTGAGGACTGGACACAATCACTATATATTCCCATACATAAAAAGGGAGCGAAAGATTTATGTAGCAACTACCGCAGCATTGCAGTAAGATACTCTTACACATAATTCTCGAGAGGTTAAAGCCCTTTTTACTACCTAACATTGCGGAGGAACAAGCAGGTTTCGTCCCCGGACGTGGTAATAGAGAACAAATTTTAAACGTACGGCAGATTGTAGAAAAATCCAGAGAATTCAACATCACAACATATTTGTGCTTCATAGATTATAGTAAAGCTGTCGATTTGGTCAACTGGAGTAAAATGTGGCAGGTTTTTGTTTGAAATGGGAGTCCCCAATCATCTGATACTGCTAATTAAAAGCCTGTACAATAACAATTATGCCAGAGTTAGAATAAATGGGGAACTAACCGATAGTTTCAGGGTCACAAAGGGCGTGAGACAAGGCTGCATATTAAGCCCAATTCTATTTAACATCTATGGTGAATGGATAATGCGGAAAGCTACTGAGGACTGGAACGATGGCATCACCGTTGGCGGGAAGAAGATTTGCAACTTGAGATATGCAGATGATACTACTATCCTCGCTAGTTCTGAAGCTGAATTGATTCACCTGCTACAACGGATACAAGACGTAAGTTTAACGATGGGTCTTAAAATAAACAAAGATAAAACGAGAATCATGATAATTGACAGAGCTAACAACAATCAAAATCATCTGGTCGTGATAAACAATATCGCTGTTGTAGATAAATTTGTGTATCTGGGCTCATTAATAACCAACAAAGGAGGCTGTACTAAAGAAATAAAGCAGCGGTCAGCAATCGCAAAAAGCGCTATGGCAAAATTAACAAAAATTTGGAAAAGCCATGAAATAACTACCGATACAAAAATGAGACTAGTAAGAAGTCTAGTTTTTCCAGTTTTTACTTATGCATCGGAATGCTGGACCCTTACTGAGAAAGGCAAAACGAACATATATGTATTTGAGATGTACTGCTGGAAACGAATGCTGAGAATACCATGGGTGGCCCGAAGAACAAATGAATCCATACTGGACCAGCTAAACATAAAGAAAAGACTAAGAACACAAATATCAGAACAAATAATAAGCTATTTTGGACATGTGCTTCGAAGAAATGGTCTTGAAAAACTTACCATCCAGGGAAAAGTAGATGGCAAAAGAAATAGAGGTAGATTTCCCACGCGATACACGGACCATATTGTTGCTACCATTGGCGCTCCATTGTCAGAATGTGCTAGAATGGCAGAAGATAGAAAAACGTGGAGGAACATTGGGAAATTTAGCTAATAGCTTAATGATATCACGATACCTGCATCAGGTTAATGACTAAGAAGAAGAAGAATCAACGAAGAACAAGAACAGCAGTTGGTAAATTATATCTTGGAGATAGCGGTATGTTTTCTTTTGGAATTACTGTAGCTGCATTTTGTAGAATAAGTTGGATTCAACGATGATTCGCTGTGTCCTGACGTTGGACGTAGTCCCGACGATTCCAGAACTCCGGATGTGGCCTCAAAGCTTCTTCCATGGTTGATAAAGCTCTCATTTAAAAAGAGAAATGCTAGTGTATCGGCATCCAACATTGATATGGATATTTTACCCCAATCTTGCATTTATATTTCCAGTCAGACATATACAATTGATCCAGGTCGGGTCGCTACTGCAATATAACTCTGCCAGCGATGTCAATAAATTGAATTATGTCTATCTACCTTGTGCGCTTCAAATATATACAACTTGTGTTGTTTAGAAGGTCGTAAAATAGTGACTATTTACTGTATTATGATAACATTTATATTCTTGCGTTTACCAATTACTTTCCTAATATGACATTTTGACATTCCCGTCTGTGATGGGGTTGATCACATACACTTTTTACATTCCTCCACTAATTATAATTTTTTAGGGGCAATTTATGTCAAACATAAAACTAGCCAAGAGAGCAGCTGCATTCAAATGCTGCGTTTTGCTTCATCAAGTGGGAGAATTGGATGATCATTTGTTACCCGTAAAGAAGACTGTAAAAGAAGAAGACGTGAGTTTTCTGTTTACCCATTACCCGGATAAAGAAAATAGAGCAAATGCAAATTTAAAAACGCGTAGATTACATAAAAAGATGGTAAGACATTTGAACTTTTTTTTATACAAGACATATTGTTTTTAAAATTTCTTGAAACAAATTTTAATTTACAATTCTATCTGTAACATGGTTTAGTATTCTGGACAACAATTTATTTAGTTTGTCATATCTAAAGTGAATTAATTTTTCAATTGGGCCTAGGTAATGTAAATGTTACAATGCTGACTTAACACCTTCGCTGCGATTATGAGAATTACAATTATTATGTTGTATGTTTTACCACTTGTAATTGACCGGTACTGTAGAATTATTTATTTAGATACACCAGTCGCAATAGACTGGTAGTTCTTAAGAAATGTGAGTGCGATCTATCTCACATTTCACATCTCACATCTATCACACGAAACTTGCTGGAAACTGTATCAGTACCAGGCTAATCCTTTTGGTAAAGCAAAATGTGAAATTTTTAAGAAGTGCATAATATATTCAAGTAAAATAAAATAAAAACTTTTATTGAGAGCAAAAAACATTCATAAAATATAAAAACAACAAATGCTAATTATTACTAGTATAAGTTTTAAAATGTATGCGTTGTGTTTAAAATTAAAACATAGTAAACATAAAGCAGGTTTTTCCTCGTATGTATGCTACAGTGTGTATACTCGTTTTCATCGTTCTTGGCGTGTGCTTGAAATAAGCTACTACGGAATTTTTAATATTCGTCTCTCTCTGATACACAGATGCGTAATTCAATTGTGCGAGTCACGTTCGTCATGGTAAAGTGCGATGAGAAGGGAATGAAGAGACCACTCACGTCTCCCAGTATTGTAGCAATAACACCGATGCGTTTGGCCGATACGGTGTCGGTGATAAGTTCGGCCTCTTTACGAATACAGATAGCTGGCAGTGACGTGTTTTTTTTTAACATGTTACCCTGATCTAAGCAGGTTTGAAGTAGCTGATGAAATAGTTTTTATAAGTAAACAGTTTTTAATTAATTAATAGTTTGAGCTCTTACTGTGTGGAATTCCATTACATAAAATAATACTCTCGACACCTTAAAAATTCCAGTTTATTATAAATTAACTCTCTCTCTCTCTCTCTCTCTCTCTCTCTCTCTCTCTCTCTTCCGATACCCATTGCAATAATGACTTGTGGCATTGTTCTTGAATGAGCTGGCTAATAGGTTTATAATTGTAGCAATTACCATTGATATTTTATGTTGTTTTAGTCGATTTTTGACAGTCATTGTTGGAATTTGTTCCGAACAGTTTTACTTATTATTTTTTGTTGTGAATAACTAATTGTTCTATTTAATAAAAAAAAAATGCCGGGAAAAACGATAACAGGAGAAATGCGACAATGTGTAGTTCATTTATTGGAGTATTTTAAAAAAGAAAAAGAAAACAATGGACCTTTGCTTTCGTTATCATCGGTACATGAACGAGTAGCGGACGCTTTGAAAATCAGTCTTCGCACAGTGACAAGAATAAAGAGTGAATACAAGACAGGGGCAGCTCTAACTACACCAGGAGAGTCACGTAATGTACAAAAAAAGACTAATGATTTGAGCGATACTATAAAAGGAGAGATTAGAAATGTATTGTATGGCATGAAAGCAAAAGGAGAGCATGTAATACTCCATGTAACGTTTTTATATTGATTTTTTTTAATTGTGTGTTCTTATTGTATGCCATACGATAAATAAATAAAAGGAGAGCACGTTACAATTAAAGTTCTAAATACACAATTAAGAAACAAGCATCTCTATGACGGTTCTGATACAAGTTTGTGGCGTCTTATGAAAAATTGTGGGTTTTCATACAAACTAGAAAATAGTAGACGAGTGCTATGTGAGAAACCATGTATTGTCCCCAAACGACTGTATTTTTTGAGGCATTATATGAGAAATTTTTTAAGTCCAAGTCCACTTCAGTTCGTTTTTTTAGATGAAACATGGATATTCCTAAAAGGGGCATATAAACGTACTTGGCAAGATGACTGTGTGAAAAGCATCAGAAAAGGACACGAAAATACAGGTAAACGCTTTGTTGTTTTACATGCCTGAAGTAGGCAAGGATTTGTTAAAGATGCTGGATTACTGTTTTCTACGAAAAGTGCAGACTATCATGATTCTATGGATAAAGAGTCTTTTAAAAAGTGGGTCTCCGAAAAGCTGATACTAATATTGGAGGAACCATCTCTAATTATTATGGATAATGCCTCATACCATAGCTCTTTAATAGAAAAGTTACCGAATGCCAGTTGGAAAAAATCGGACTTACAAGAATGGTTACGAGCGAAAAAAATAATTTTTGACGACGATTCGGGCAAGACAGAGCTATTGAGTCTTTGTCGCCAGAATAAAACACAAAATACCAGGTACGTTATAGACGAGCTACTCCAAGAACATGGGCATCAGGTTTTGAGATTGCCTCCATATTACTGTCAATATAATCCGATTGAGTTGGTCTGGGGCATTTCTAAACAATACTATAATCGTCATATTGTAGAACATGGACGTGGAGATGAAACAGTGAAAAAAGTTTGGGGCGATGCATTAGCTGAGGCAACACCTGCAGTGTGGGCGAGTTGTGTTAACCATACTGAAAAATTAATTCAGGACGACTGGGCAAAAATGGTCACATATGAAGAAAATGAAAGTAGGATTATCATCGATTTGCCGGAAGATTCCAATGATGAAGACAGTTCCAGTGAATACACTGACTGATTAGCTAATTAATCAAGGTCAGTACGTTGTAACAGTTCAGAATTCGCTACAGTGCTTAAAATTTAAAAAATCTGTATTATTTTTTAATTAAAGTGGGTTAAATAATTAACACTTTTTTGGGTATATTTCAAAATCCTTTTAAAATGTACTTTTCGTTATATCCTGTCCTATTGTACTGCAAGCTAGAAAAATACTTCTTCGCATTTTATACGTATATTGCGTTATTAGAAATTTAATGAAAAATAATTTATAATTTTTTTTTATAACTATTATTTCGTTTTAACATGCTACATTTTACTTCGCCACTGAAGGAGGTAAACGAATCGAGCTTAGACAAGGAAAGACAGATGAAACAACTTATTGTAAGTGTTTTTACACGCACAAGCCAAGAACGATGAAAACGATTATAGTAACTTTAAATACATTTCTACCAGTGTCTTTACTTTTCATTTTTTACCTCAGCTTCTTGTAACATTCCATACAATTTCGCCTTTTTTGGTACCAGGTCCTAAGGTCAGTTAGGTCAGTATATCTTTTCTCGAAACTAATTTTATATTCGTCATTATCTGGACTAGTTAAATATTCAGAAGGAGTGTAATTAGAATCACAGTCCGAATTGTCGCTAAATGGTTTTTCCTCTGATTCCCTCAAAGTATTTATATTTGTTTCTTGGTGCCGATCCAATTTCTGATTGGGTTCTACACAACTACCACTTGTAGTTGCATTTTGCTAATTTACTAATTTAACAGTGCTACTCATTTTACTCAATTCTTAAAAAACTGGTAATTACAAATTAAATTACTCACCAAATAACTTGTATGCGTTACCAGTCGAATACAACTGGTGCTAAATTATCCCTCTATTAGATAGACCTCTTTCAGACAATAATATAGGTACCTATAATTAGTTTTTATTAACGCGTTTCGTTTGTACGTTACTCGCCAGATGGAAATACATGTATTTATTTTTAGCCGTAATTTCTGCAAACGTAGTCTTTTTCAACTGGTGACGCAGCGAAGGTGTTAAAAGTCCGACTGCGACCGCATAATATAGAGAAAATCAGTCAGTATTGAGCTATGGTGTAAACCTGTTGGGATTATAATGGTCATAGGAAATCCTTCAATCTCTTTATTAAGACAATTCGAGCATTTGATTGAGAGGAGGGTTAGGTTAAACCATTTTCCTTTCAGTCTTAGAGAGCACATGCGGTTGTTGATTGGTTTGAAATCAATTATGGCAGACTTGAGTTTTTCGTTAACTACAAACCCACATCCAAATTCGTGTCTTTCTTCTTCTCCTGACCAGAAAACCAGTGAATTTTCCCTTTGCAGGCTTCCCGATCCTGTCCATCTCATTTCCTGAATCGCTGTTACGTCCATCTTATATTTTTGAAGCTCGTACACTCTTCAGCCAATTACGTCTGGCGAACGACGGACCAAGCAAAACCACAATTGTAGAGCCGATTAGTACTTGGACATAGGAGAGAATAGGTATGTCTTAGATCAATACTCCAAGACCGGATACGGAACTGCACTAGAGCGGTTGGCCTTCAGTCAATACCCTAGGGCCAGTGGAGTGGTTGCCTTTCTCTTGTGGCGGCTGCTCTCTTACGGTCGAATGCCTTCCATCTCCACTAGCGCACATCGATGGAGGAGGAACTTCTGGTAGGGATGTCTGACTACGAAGCACTCACGGTATCGAGGCGGTGCAAATCGTTACACACAATATTTATTATACGAGACTTGCATTACAATAATTATATTATTTACTTTATAACTTTATATTTTTTAGCATTATTGCACTAATTTATGCGAATTTCTTAATTTTTTGTATTAATTTTAGGTTCCGAATACACTTAAAGAACAAATTCGACCTTCTTCTAAGGTCTATCTACATTGTCTCCAATTAAATCCACAATTTAGCAGACATAATTCGGACATTAATCAATCCACCGTTTATGATATGTATACATCTTCTCTAAGTTATGGAATTATCACTACGTCGCCGTTACCAACCATTTGTGATTTCCCGATTTACCTTACTTCGGGTACAATAGAAGTTTCTTTAAAAGTAAATCATCGATCACTGAATATTACCCACGTGGATTTGGACGACATTAAAACATTTCACTTCAACGTTTTTGATAGCGTTTTAGAAATTTTACCAAGATTTTTAATTTTTGATACTAGTGATAATGCAGAAATGATGCTGTTAGTTCCTGTAAATAAAGAAAATGGTGATATAGATTGGGACGTTTTGAGGAGCAGAGTTTCTGCTCAACTTGTTAATGAATTAAGCGAAGAACAAAAGTTGAATTTGCCAGTAACACAAGAGGGTTACTTGAGAAAAATCGTCAATCCCTGGTACAGACGGGACACGCCTACATATATTGTAACGGAAGTAAGTATTTTCTAGATATAAAAATATCGTATTTGGGCAATCAATAATATTTTTGATGGGTGTAATTTGTTGGACTTCGAGCATGTACTGTTTCAGCAAAGTAGAAAGAAAAATTGATCAGACGGTAAATGTGAATAAGATCGAATTTATGATCTTTTTCTTCTTCTTTTAGTACCCTGTCCGATTATCGAACGTTGGCGATCATATTGGCAATAATAACTTTTGAAGCTATTTTCTTGTGGCATTTTAAAGTAATTACTATTTAAATAGGAATAAGCTACAATTAAACGTTAAAGTACGTTTATTGACGTTTCAATAAACGCACTTTAACCTTTAATTGTGGCTTATTCCCATTTAAATAGTAAATAATAACTTTGTGTACGGCGGCTCTAAATAAATTAGCGGTGTTGTCTTGATATCGTTCTCGAAGATTTCGGAACCAGGATGTTCTTCTTCGGCCTGGGCCTCTCCTTTCGGTGATCTTATTATGAGGTGTAGAAGGTTATACCTCTCTGGATATGTCTCATTCTTCTTCTTCTTCAAGTGCCCTCTCCGTTACGGAGTTGTTGTTTTTTTTAACCTATTCTTTATCCTTCCATTGTTGGATATAGATCTTCCCCAGTTCTCTCCATCTTTCCCTATCTTGAGCTGTTCTCTGCCATGTGGGACCTCCTTGTTTCCTGATGTCATCTTTCCACCTCATCTGTGGTCTGCCTCTTGATCTCTTTGCATTGTATGGACGCCACTTTCCGATGGCATTGTTCCATCGTCCGTCTTGGAGACGTTCATTGTGTCCAGCCCATTTCCATTTCAGTTTTAATTAGTTACGGAGTTAGATAATTCAGTTACGGAGTTTGGCAATCATCAATGCTATTCGTATCTTTGAAGCTGTTGCTTTAAATGATTGGTTAGATGTGCACTGGAACCAATCTCTTAAATTGCGCAGCCAAGATATACGTCGTCTCCCCACGCTTCGTTTGTCCTGAATCTTTCCTTGGATAAGTAACTGGAGCAATCGGTACTTTTTCCCTTTCATCACATGACCAAGATATTCCAACTTTCTTCTCTTGATGGTGATCAACAGCTCCCGTTCTTTGTTCATTTTTCTATATATCCACATTTCAAAAGCCTCTAGTTTATCGATATTGCTCTTGTTTAAAGTCCAAGTCTCTACTCCGTACAGCAGTATCGAAAAGATGTAGCATCTAACCAATCTCATTTTCAGGTTTAGGTCAATGTCATGACTTCCCAGAATGTCCTTCATATTAACAAAAGCAGCTCGAGCCTTTCAAATTCTAGTTTTATTTCTTCCGTGATGTCATTGTTGTTATTAACACTTGTTCCCAATATTTATATTTGTGCACCCGTTCGATTTCGTTATTGTGAATGTACAGGTTTGCATTCAATCTTTGTTTTTTTTTAATAATCATGAATTTCGTCTTCTTGGCATTCATTGTTAACCCTTTCTCTTCACTAGCTGTGACTACCTTGTTTAAAATGGCTTGCAGGTCTTCTACTGTCTCCGCCATTAAAACCGTATCATCTGCGTATCTAATATTATTAATTGGTTGGCCGTTAACTTTTATCCCAATCTCTTCTTCCTCCAATGCTTTCTTCATAATTTCTTCCGAATAGAGATTAAATAGCATTGGTGACAGCACATATCCTTGTCTAACTCCTTTTCTAATTTGAATTTCATTTGTTGTGCTATTTTCGATGCGTGCAACTGCCTTCTGGTTATAATACAGAGTAGATATTATTCATATATCGCGAGTGTCTAACTGTTTAGCTTTCAAGATCTCTAAAAGTTGGTTATGCTTGACGTTATCAAACGCCTTGATGTAATCAATGAAACAAGCAAATATATCTTGATTCACATCCAAACACCTCTGTGTCAAGATGTTAAAGGCAAATAATTTTTTGTATTGATAACGACAAAGTGACAAAGCACATAAAGAGAAACGTAGTTTTTGAGAGTTAATATATCAGAAGCAACAAAAGCCTTCTTTATTAAGTGATTGTAGAAACAAATCTTCTTCTTCGCGTGCCATATCAGAATTATCCCACGTTGGCGATCACCATTGCGAAGGCTTCTCGATCTTTTGCAATACGGAATAATTGTCCTGCATTTGGTATCTGAGTCCATTCACGAATATTTTTTAACCAAGAAACTTTTCTTCCTACACCTCTACGGCCATCTATTTTGCCTTTAAGGATCAGTTGTAATATTTTATATCGACTTCCTCTTACTATATGTCCCATATAAGACATTTTTCGATGTTTGACAGTCTTTAGCAGTTCTCTATCTTTGTTGACGCTCCTTAGTACTTCTTCATTAGGTTTTCTTGCTGTCCAAGGTATCTTCAGCATTCGTCTATGAACTCACATTTCCAATGCTTCAATTTTGTTCATGATCGATACTTTTAGCGTCCACACTTCTGCACTATATAAAAGTACAGACCAAACATAGCACTTAACCATTCTTTATCTTAGTTCTAAACTGAGATGGTTATTGCAAAGAACTGACTTCATTTTCATAAAAGTAGTTTTAGTCATTGCTATTCTACGTTTTATTTCTATATCTGGATCTAGTTGGTCAATTATCACTATTTCCAAATATGTCATTTTGTGAACTTTTTCAACTTCGATTCCGTTTAATTGAAGCTTTGCAACAGGATGTGGGTCACAACTAAACACTAAAAATTAGGTTGCGTTTGAGTTTATTTTAATGCCCATTTCCTCTCCTACCTCGTGAATATGATCAAGCAGAATTTGAAGACCTTCATTATTATCTAATAGAATTACTGTATCGTCTGCATATCTAATCACATTAAGTAGTTCCCCGTTGATTTTTATTCCATATGGTTGTCTCTCAAGTACCTTTTTAAATAACTGGTCAGAGTAAACATTGAACAATGTTGGCGACAAAATGCAACCTTGTCTGACTCCTCGTTGTATAGAGATTTCATCGGTGTAATTATCTCCAATTTTTACGATAGCAGTTTGATTCCAGTACAAATTTTTAATGACACGAATATCCTTATCATCTATTCCGATATTTTTCAGTATTTGCATTAATTTTACATGCTGTACTTTATCGAATGCCTTTTTCAAGTCCACGAAACATGCAAATACATCTATTCTTTGGTGACGGCATTTTTGTAATAGGATGTTAAGCGCAAAAAGTGCCTCCCTAGTTCCCATAGCATTTCTACAACCAAATTGGGTATCTTCAAGATCTTGGCATTTGCGTCTAATTTTGTTGTGAAGTATTCTGAGGAAAATTTTAAGAGTGTGGCTCATTCTTCTTAACGTGCCCTATCAAGTCCCCTTGACGTTGGCGATTAACATGGCGAAACTGTCTCTGTCTCGAGCTATTCTAAATAGTTGCTCAGCTTTCTTTATTCCTGTCCACTCCCTGATATTCTTCATATGATATTCCTTCATATGTTGATTTTCCGTTTATGCAAGCTGTCGCTGTTTGACGCCAGTATAACTTTTCTATGAATCGTATGTTTTGACTATCAACTCTTTTATCTTTTAATATTGTAATTAATTTGTGATGCTGTAGTCTATCAAAGGCCTTTTCATAGTCAATAAATACAGCAAAGACGTCTTTCCTTTGATCTCGACATTTCTGCAGTAATACATTTAGTGCAAAGAGGGCGTCTCGAGTTCCCAGTCCATTTCTGAAGCCAAATTGTGTTTCATCCTGATCTTCACATGTATCTCTGATTTGTGGATGATGCGTAGAAATATTTTCAAAGTGTGGCTCATAAGGCTTATCATTCTATAATCGCTTCAGTTTTTCGGCTCATTAGACTAATTAATCGATATTCTGAGCATTTTCTCGCATTGTGTTTTTTAGTTATTGCGACAAAGATGGATTTGAGCCAATCTGCGGGAATCACTCCGGTGTTATATATTGAATCTTACTACTACTTTTGTTATCATTCTCTATTAGTTTCAGCAACTAAGTTGGTGTATCATCTGGATCATATGCTTTTCTAATTTTAGCATTTCTAACCTCGCATTTCATAATTTCTGGGCCGTCAATACAGTTTTGTTAGAATTCGGCAATATGATTCCTGTAATCTTCAAACAACTCTGATATATACAGCTGCCATTCTTTTCATATTTCATGCTCATTTACAATAATTTTGTTATTATTGTCAACGAGTACAGAAGGAACTCGTTTTTTAAATATATTACTCATGTCTTTCAATTTTTTGTGCACATTAAATAAGTCATGTTTAGATATTACATATTCCATTTCGTCGCACCTTTCTCTCATCAATTTTTCTTTGGCTAATTTGATCTCCTTTTTTATTCTTCTCTGCAGGTGTCTATATTCTGTTTCATTAGATTTTATCAGTCGACGTTGTTCTATTAATTTCAAGATGTCGTCTGTCATCCATTTATTTTTCTTGATGTTTTTTCTATAATCATTGTTTGTGGAGATTTCGTTGACATTAGAAACAAATACATAGATATATAAAATAAGATAAGCACTATGACAAATATTTATACAATACTTTTTTTAGGTATGCTTTAATAAGTCTGCTAAATCGCCATTTCCAAATGAGAGCTTCAGTAGTTTTGCAGAATATTTCAGGACAAAACATAATATTACTCTACTAAACCCTGATCTTCCATTGCTAAAGGTTAAAGGATTAACCAAAAATAGGATTTTTATTAAGGTACGTTCCATTATCTTAATACAAGAAAAAATATATTTTTAGGCATTATTAGGTAATAAAAAAAAGAGAAATCATACGATTTCCACCTGGCGAAATCGAATTCAAATTTTTACCACTGTGCTTTCTAAAACTTGCAAAGCAAACAGCTTGATAAATTACTCAAGGCAAGGGAATCTAAAATTGCATTCCACATGCCGTTCATCATGGTCAAAATTCTTAGTGAATTCAATTTCTGTTACTCCAAACGGAGTAAATAAATAAAATATAAAGAGGATACCAGATTTTTGTTTCGATACAGAGCTGCGGCAAGCCGCTTATACGTATTTTGACCTCTTTTCGGTCTTCTCAGAACGGTATAGCCACTTGTTTCGATTCAGAGTAGTTATAAAAAATTTCTAGATATTGACCTGCTTTCCTTCACAGTAATTATTACCTAATTTTACTTTCCAATTAATAAGTAAAACGTCTTTTTTACAGCCAAAAGGTGCTTCTAAAGGAAAAAGAAAATATGATGAACATACGGAATTAGAAGAATATTTACCACCTGAATTAGTGGTGACACAGGAATATCCCGCCCCTTTGTGGATTCAGTCCAACTTCCTGCCGACGATTCTGAGTAGGATTTCGTTTATGCTGCAATTAGAGCAACTGAGGTGCAAAATCGTTGAAGAAACAGGTAAATTATATGCTTTCCTTTGTACATAAAGCTAAAATGTATTTATTAAATATACTTGAAAATGAATCAAATCCATGAAAGTTTATTCATTTTTCTAATACTAGCTTCATAGAACTTTCATCTACTATAAACTACAGCCTGCTTTATTGTCCATCTCAAAATTTCTCGGAGTATTATGTCCTTGTTTATTTGGAGCCCAATTAATTTTTCACAGAAATTGAAACCGAATTATAAACCAAACAAACAAAACTATTATAGAATACGCTAAACTGAAAAATATAATTCAAATACTATTTTTTTAAAATGAGTGTATATTTAAACAAGGGATTGATATTTTACAAGTGTTAATGATTCTTTTGATCTCCCGTAGGCCAATATTTTAGTCTGAAGTTGGAGAGTACATTGCGGACCAGCATGACACAATCTAATATGCTCCCTATTTAGCACAAGTTTTACGATCTGATTCCTAGAAGACAAGATAAGAGGATACTTTGGTCAAATTGAACAGAGGCATATTTTAACCTTCCGCCAACTCTCAACATTTCATATTCATCCAGAAAGGGGTTCATGGACAAAGGGGATTTATTTGTAATTGGCCTTTTAGTTTTGAGAAGGGAAATTTCTTGTGAAAACGAGTCATCTTGTATGAGTTCAGTTGATTTGGGTTTACTACAGAAAGATTTTTGGAGAATTTTTCTGATGGTTTCCTGTTATTATGAGCAAATCTTAAGCAATAAAACAATCACTCTTTGTGATTTTTAAATCTCACTTTGAGATTTGTAAATGAAAAGAATGGCCGAATGAGTTCGTTTAAGAACGAGGAAGAGAGATGAATACGATGGACAATCTGAGATTTTCTTTCCTCTGGAACGTAATTAATTTTGTCCTTTGAGTTGAAGAAGGCAAGATCTAAATCAATTTGTGACAGGTGCTCCATGTATTGGTGGAAACTACCCATTCATTCCCCTTTATGGTCCTTCGAACCGGATAATGTGTGATATGCAAACCACAGTGGCGGCGTTAGACTAAATTAGAGTACTGACAAAATATAGTTTTCCAACACCTTGGATGCAAAAATAGAATGGGTAATGGGCAATTTGGATTTCGAAACGGTCAAGGAACTAGAGGCCATTATTACGTATGCGCGTTCTCTTACAAAAAAGTTGTGAGTTCCCAAAGAACGTTTTGTTTTATCGAATTCGAGAAGGCATTCTAGCGAGTGCAACACGATACAGTTTTCGATTGCGTACAAGCAGCAGGACTTGATCACTACGGTATAAGACTGCTAAAATACTTATATATTACAATCAAGTAGCCCTATCCATAGCAAATTGGAGATAGTCGTACTAAAAACTGTCCTTCAAACATTGAGTACAACAGGGTTGTGTTTTGTCTCCCAGACTTTTTAATCTATAATCTGAATAAATCTTTAAGGATGCTTTGGATTATAGAGAAGAGGAGCTAGACGAGAGAGGCTTCTTCTTCTTCTTAGAGTGCCCTACGGAGGTTGGCAATCATAATGGCTATTTTTATTTTAGAACTTGCTGCTCTAAACAAATCAATCGATCTGCATTGGTACCAATCACGTAGATTCTTTAACCATGAGTTCTGCCTTCTGCCATGAGAGAGGCTAGGCGAAGAAGTAATCAACAATATCAAATACGCTGACGAAACAGCCGTTCTTGCAGAAAATTTGCAAGATCTCCAAACTTTAGTAAATCTAGTCAGTGAGCAAGCTTTCGGAGAGGCCTTAACAATTTTATTTTCAAGACAAAGTAGATAGCAGTTGGAAAGATTAATATAGATCAACGATTCGATGGAGAGGAGATAGAACCTTCCTAAATCTATGCATAGAAATTTTGCTAGCTTCAAGAGTTATATCTCTTTTACAGCTTAAAACTGTCTCTTATGGTCTCATTACCAGAAAATTGTAATATGAAATCATTGCGTTTCCCAAAATCAAGAGCTTTCTTGTTTTTCAAAACAATAAAGCTGGAGTATTTAGGCCACACTACCAAAGGTGCCAAATATGAGATAGTAAGGCTCATAAAGCAAGGTAAAATCAATAGTAAAAGATCTATAGGAAGACGAAGAATTTCCTGGCTAAGAAACCTAAGAGAGTGGTATAGTTGCTGCTCAGTAGATCTTTTCAGAGCAGCTGCCAATAAGGTACGGATAGTTGTGATGATAGCCAACCTCCGATAGGAGAAGGAACTACAAGAAGAAGAAGAAGTTTTCCAAATACAGAAAGTCTTCAAAAGAAAATAAAAGAAAAAAAAAACAATGTACAGATGTTGATTTATTATCCATCATTGTGTTGATTAATCAAATAATTTATTTTGCTTTTCAGGAATGGGTTCAATTATTCATACTAATAGGAAAGCTCTTCAATTGGATGAGTACCTTTTAGACTATAAACCGTACGTAGAAGAAATACCCTATCACGAAGATACACCTATGGACATTGATCAAGTAGATGCCATTCAGGCTTTTCCTTTAAATTCGGTATCAAAAATAAACAAAGAATTCACAAATAAAATCATAGAATCCCAATATCCGTGGAAAGATATCGAAGAACCTCTTGATGTTGAAAGGGATCTTGACGCAACAGTTTTAGATGTAGAACACTATGAGCAGTTTTTGGGTAAGTTTTAAAGCGATTTAAAATAGACTTACTTGTTTTATATTTTTTCTACAGAATTTACTGCGTTTTAAACTTCAATATTTTATATATTTATAATGAAATTCCCTTCGATTAAAAACTTTTATTATTTCAGGTTTTAAATTGTCACAGCCTGCCCGTGAATTGAAAAACATTTCTCCTATTAAGAAAAAAGAACTGTTGGCTTTAACTTATGATAAAAAATTTGCTCCTACCAAAATCAAATTACTCGAAATTGAACTAGACGAGAAAGGTCCAGAATTATGCAGATTTTACAGGTAAATATATTTTTTAACGATTTCAAACCGCTCATTCCACCCTGATATTCCTACCATACTATTATTTTTACAAGTTTTTGTTCATTGAAGGCCTAAACTCCTTTGCTCTCGTACTCTTTTTAACCGCAGTGTCAAAGGTACATCATCTAAGTGTTCGTCTTCATCTGAAGAGGAATGGACTTTAATATCTCGTACAACATCTTTAGGTAGTGTCAAATTTCCTTCTATAAGGTTATCATCCTCGATGTTCTCCTCATCAGTAAGCATATCTGGGTCTGGAAGAATAATAACCATATCCACTTCAGACCGCGAATTAAAAGCACGAATATCTTCTAAAGCAGAAGGTAAACCTTCGTACCTCTTTCCATAAAAATTTCGAACACTAATACTCTCAAAATCGTCTACAGATGCCATATCTGTAAGAAAATTGCAAAATATCAAACATACTCCCATACGCCCATTGTACTCATATGAGTACACCTAATTTTAACAACAAATAAATCACATTATAATTAAAATTATGAATAATTAATCACTTAAACACTTTACTAAACTTATTATAAACTAACGTAAACCATTTGATCGTAAAAAGAAGTAAATGAAAGAAAAGAAACTTACTGTAAATTTACAACGTCGATGGCGAGAAAATAAACAACTCACGTGTTGACCTCATAAACAATAAATCAAAACTAGCAAACCAAGCTGAATCATTCAACGAAATCTGTTAAAGTTGTCGTCTTAGGGGTATTTAGTTTCCTGTAATTACTAAGAATGGCAACTATTTTATTGTAGATGGCACTAGTATGTCAAAATAGCAGCTGTACTTAAATGAGTACAGTGGGCGCTAATGAGAACATATGCAAATTTATAGCTTCTTATGATTTATTTTTACTTTATTTCACGGATTATTTTTTTTTCTTTTACAAGTAAACTTGTTTTTTGTTTACACCATATGCTATTAAAATCAGTAAATGTTTTTTACATTCACAGAGCATTCACGTGTGCCAAAGCTAATGACATTGTTAATTTGGAACGTCTGGAAACTCTTGGGGACTCATTCCTGAAATTCATTTCTTCAGTCTACATATACCTGAAATTTCCCCAATATAACGAGGGTTTGGCAACTTCCTTAAAAGGCAGATTGGTCAGCAACAAAAATCTGTTTTATTTGGCAGTAAGGAAAAACCTGCAGGGTATCATTAAATACCATGAATTGTCTCCGCAAAAAGAATGGTTGCCTCCAGCATTTACCATTCCTAGCGAATTATCACGACGAATAGAAAATAAAGAACTGTCTCTTAGCTCCGTTTTTGGATTCACTATTCCGGTAGAGGAGCAAATTTCGGGTGTGTTAAGCGAAGAAACTAAGCAGGAGATTTACGAAGAAGACTATCCTCCTACGGCTACGGAGGAATCTGCCTACCAAACAATGGCCAACTTTATAAAATGTCAATACATTGGAGATAAATTTATCGCTGATGTTGTCGAAAGTCTTATTGGAGCTTACCTAATGTCAGGCGGTTTTAAAGGTGAGTAGATATAACAAAAATATCATTTTTAATAGTACACGACTTTTAGTCGGATCAAATAAAATTACAATACACGTAAATCAAAATGTAATAATTCTGTACAGCTTGAACAAATTTTATATAAAAGTTTAGGTGAAAACAAAAGATATTTTCAAGAATGTACCGGGTGGTCCAATAAGCCGATTTCTCGGCTATATATCAGAAACTGTTCATGTTATAACTTAAAGAGAAAAAATTCCTTAGTAAAAGTGGCCAAGAGAAATCGCTGGAAATAACTTTCAAGATTCTGGATTAACCGCTAGGGGGCGTAACCTGCGAAGAAAATTTTGAAAACCAGTTTTTTGGGAAATATGTCCAATTATACCAAGTGTTAAATAAGTAAACTAGAAAGAGGCATAAATTCTGCACAAAGTTGTTCAAGTACTTTTTTTTTATTTTTTCAAATAAAGGGAGGGGGAGAGGGGGAAAGTATTTGTGGATAAATACCTATAACTTTGGTATGGATCAACCGATTTTAACAAAATTAGTGTCATTAGAAAGAGTATGGATAAATTAATTTACATCTACTATAAAATTATTGCATTTAGTTTTAATTGTCGTAGGTAGAGGGTACTTTCAAATAGAAAAAATTAAAATTTGTTTTTCTTTAAAATTTTTAATGGAAACACCTATTTATTGTAAATTATAATGGAACTTGATTAAATTCGTAACAAAACGGCGCAAACCACATGTTAATAGCTTTTATCGAACTCAAGATATGAATAAAAACGCATAAACGTAAGTAAGTATAGTATTGACACACCCTGTATTATAAATTAAATTAAAAAATAAGTCAGTAGGTACTTTCAAAATTTTTTATAGCAGAAAACTCTTAATGTTGATACCTATTTTAACTATTGTTATTTCATATGATTAAAAATTGTTTTTTCGAAACTAAGTAGGCTACGACAATGAATTTGACAGGGAGTTCATATTGTTTATTTATTGACAGCAGTCAAAATATTGTTAAGAAGTGTTATATGTATTATAATTCGAATTGAAAATTGCATCTTTTTCAATAGATATTAATATTGGTAATATTAGTAATTAATTATCAGTACTAATAATTCGTGATGAGTATATCAAATTGTATGATATGATTGGAGTTTATTTCGAATATCACTAAAATGGCCCTATTGCCTCACGTATATATTCTGTAAGATATCCTGGCAGGAGACATTGTGGCAAAGAAGTAGAGATTTCGGACTACTTATATGTGGATTCTGTTCAATTAAAGCAAGAACATTGATTGAATTATCTTCGGTCATAACTCTACTACTTCGTTTAAAACAAGGACGAGAAAAACTACCAAGTTCTCTTAATCTTTTGCCTTTTTTTTTAATACTTCTTCTTATAAATTAATATCTATTGAAAAAAGTGCAATATTTAATTCGAATTATAATATAGCACTTCTTAACAATATTTTGACTGCTGTCAATAAATAAACAATATGAACTCCCCGTCAAATTCATTGTCGTAGCCTACTTAGTTTCGAAAAAACTATTTTTTACAAAATATGTATTAAAATTAAGATTCTTCTGCTATAAAAAAATTTGAAAATACCGACTGACTTGTTTTTAATGTAATTTATAATACAGGGTGTGTCAATACTATACTTACTTATGTTTATGAGTTTTTATTCATATCTCAAGTTTAACAAAAGCTATTAACATGCGGTTTGCTCCATTTTGTTACGAATTTAATCCAGTTCCATTATAATTTACAATAAATAGGTGTTTCCATTAAAAATTTTGAAGAAAAACAAATTTTAATTTTTTTTATTTGAAAGTCCCCTCTACCTATAACTATTGAAAACTAAATGCAAGTAGTTTATAGTAGATGTGAATTAATTCATCCACACTCTTTCTAATGACACTAATTTCAATAAAATTGAAATCCCCACCCTTTATTTGAAAAAATAAAAAAAAGTACTTGGACAACTTTGTGCAGAATTTATGCCTCTTTCTAGTTTACTTATTTAACACTTGGTATAATTTGACATATTTCCCAAAAAACTGGTTTTCAAAATTTTCTTCGCAGGTTACGCCCCCTAGCGGTTAATCCAGAATCTTGAAAGTTATTTCCAGCGATTTCTCTTGGCCACTTTTACTAAGGAATTTTTTCTCCTAAAGTTATAACATGAACAGTTTCTGATATATAGCCGAGAGATCGGCTTATTGGACCACCCGGTATATGATTTATATAAGAGGATCATTGTTTAAATAATGAAAAATGGGTCATTCATAGCTGCCGTAATTCATGTTTTTATGAAGCTTTTTACGATTTTTTTTTCTGCAGAGTTGAAGGGAAAAACTTTCATTTAAGATTTGTTAAATTAAATTTGACCTTTAAATTATTTAAATAATTATAAATAAAGCTTAAAAAAATTGCTTGACATGATTATTTGCATTTGCAAAATGAAAAGTTGCGTTGTGTTACCAATATAAAGCAAAAACAATTTTTTAAATATTCAATAGTGTAGAAATATTTTTTAATTTGTTTATTAAATGTTACTATTTTTTTCAATTGAAAAACGCGGTTGTTGTCGGTAAAGTACACATTTGTATAACGTATCATTTTTTTTGTTTTTCTGTATATTTTCGACAGATGCATTCAAAAATCAAAATTTCAATTAAACTCCTCTCCAAAGTGGCGTTCAAAATTGTTTTAATTTGTATATAACTTGTTTTTTAATAACGTCACGGGGGATTAAGTGTTGCCAAAACTCTCAGGTACGTGTTGCTACTACACTGCCGATATACGAGTCATTCTAATCAGAACACAGTGTAGATATAGATCTCTTCAAACCTCAATTAATGAAGCTTTTGCAAACAACCAAAAACTTATTACAATATTTTTTTTATATAAGCCAAGCTTTTTAGAGAACTTGGAGACACTGCATTTTGACAAATTGAAGTGATAACGGGATTCAATGAAATATACTAGTATATTTAAATATTTTATCCTAAATAAGACAAGAAAAGAATTTAAACCACGGCTGACGATGTGTAGAGACAAAAATGGACATATAGTCAGTACCGCTGACGCAGTACAAAGCAGATGGGTTGAGCACTTCAAAGAACTACTTGGTACCGAAGTGGAAAATGATGCGTCACCCCAAAGACCAAGAAATAACACTCACGTAGAACCTCCTTCAACATTTGAAGTGAAAGACGCAATCACACGACTCAAAAATAGCAAGTCCCCAGGAGTGGATTGTATCCCCGCAGAGCTCATCAAACATGGAGGTAACAGCATTATGCACCAAATTCACAACATAATAGTCAAAGTCTGGGAAGAAGAACAAATGCCAGAGGAATGGTGCACTGGAATCATATGTCCACTACACAAAAAGGGAGATTTGTTGGAGTGTAAAAATTATAGGGGTATAACTCTTCTGAATACAATGTACAAAATATTCTCCAATACCCTGTACAGCCGTTTAAGTAAGTACGTGGAAGAAATCCTTGGTGAGTATCAAAGCGGTTTTAGGCCAGGTAGGTCAACAATCGACCAGATTTTTGTGCTACGTCAAATCTTAGAAAAAACCAATGAATTTAATATTGACACGTTCCATCTCTTTGTGGACTTTAAGTCAGCGTATGATAGCGTCCTAAGAGGTAAATTATACGAAGCCATGAATGAACTTAACATTCCCCATAAATTAATAAGGCTCGTAAAAACAACTATGAGTAAAGTGATCTGCAGAGTGCAAATACAAGGCGATATGTCACAAGCGTTTGAAACATATGCAGGGTTACGGCAGGGAGACGCGCTGACGTGCCTTCTCTTTAATATAGCGTTAGAAAAGACTATAAGAGATGCCGAGTTACACAATAGGGGAACAATCTTTAATAAATCAACGCAGATTATGGTTTACGCTGACGATCTGGATTTGATTGCACGTACTACACGAGGACTTAAAGAGATGACTTCCGCCTTCTTGACAGCCGTACAAAATATGGGCCTTAAAATAAACGAGGAAAAAACCAAAATGTTAGCATCTATTCCAAATAACAGAGATAGAGCTAGAAACGCCGAACAAAACTTCAGTATAGACCAATATAATTTTGAGGTAGTAAATAAGTTTACATATTTGGGTTCTCTCATAACAAACGATAATGACACATCTGAAGAAGTTAAACGGAGGGTACTGCTAGCAAACAAATGTTATTTTGGACTAAGCAAGCAGCTAAAAAACAGAAATTTAAGCCAGAAAACCAAACTAATAATATATCGAACACTCATCCTACCAGTGCTGACATATGGGTCAGAAACATGGACCATCTCCAAAACAGACGCAAATCTTCTGCTCGTCTTCGAAAGGAAGATACTAAGAAGAATAATGGGCGCATTCTGTGAGAATGGTATTTGGAGAAGGCGATATAATTTCGAATTGTACGAGAAGTATAAAAAAATAGTAAATGGTAGAGATGTAATATCCTTCATAAAAATAGGTAGGCTTAGATGGGCTGGACATGTGTCAAGAGCAAATGAAAATTACCCACCCAGACGAACTCTATTATCGGTCCCAGTGGGAAATAGGAGTAGAGGCAGACCACGACTGAGATGGAGGGACGGTGTGGACGAGGACGCAAGGAAGATCGGCGCGGCAAATTGGCAACGGTTGGCGATGAACAGAAACGACTGGCGAAATAGACTGGGGAAGGTCAAGGCTCAACTAGAGCTGTAGCACCACTGATGATGATGATTTAAATATTTTTTTTAAATAATCGATCAATATAAATTATGATAAATGGCTTTAAAAGCTCAACAAAAACATTAGATAATGGAATACCTCAAAGTTCCTTAATATGGCCAACATTATTCTTAATTTTGTTCTGAAGCTATTTTCTCGTGGCATTGTAAATTAATTACTATTTAACTGGGAATAAGCCACAATTAAAGATAAAAATACGTTTATTGACGTTTCAATTTCCACTTCGAAAATCGTTCTCAAAATACAAACAGTAAATTAAACAAATTTTGTTTTTTGTTACATAGTGAAAAATTCTTCTAATAATTTAATTTTATCTGACTCATTTATATTGACAATTCAGACATACATTATGCATTTTAAAGTAGACGACTTTAAAATGATATTGCCAATATTGTTGAGTTGCGCTCCTGGGACGACTTTACTTATAAGATAGTTTATTCGATTACATGAAATCAACTTTAACTTGAGAATATCCGTCAGAAAAAATATAAAAATATATTAAAAATAGAGAATTTGATAGATCTCAAATATGTAAACACGCATAGGATAATGAACATAGGGTTCAATGGAATAATTCAAATGTAGTCCTAAAAGAAACGGATGGTAAAAAAAGAAAAATCAAAGAAGCGGCTCTAATTATGCTAAATGAGACCAATTGTGTCGCAAATTCCTCGGCAGAATGTAGTAGGATCTGGTTACCAATATTGAAAGAGGAAGGTATTAATAAGAAAATACCAGTATTAGTAAGTCAGTAACATATAGAGGATACATCATTTATGTTTTTTAAATAACGTAACATATAAAATCAGAATTTTGATGGTTGTTGAAGGTAAATTAAATTCACGAACAAATACTTACAATGTCGGGATAGTATTATGAGGTTTTTTTCCTGGTTTTTTCCTCATAATTTACTATGGAATCACTAACAGGAGAATTTTACTGTCATCATGTCATGTGTTTGTCTTTTTAAAGACGAATTACATGCTATGATTTTTTTTCTGACGGATATTCTCAAGTTAAAGTTGATTTCATGTAATCGAATGAACTATCTTATAAGTAAAGTCGTCCCAGGAGCGCAACTCAACAATATTGGCAATATCATTTTAAAGTCGTCTACTTTAAAATGCATAATGTATGTCTGAATTGTCAATATAAATGAGTCAGATAAAATTAAATTATTAGAAGAATTTTTCACTATGTAACAAAAAACAAAATTTGTTTAATTTACTGTTTGTATTTTGAGAACGATTTCCGAAGTGGAAATTGAAACGTCAATAAACGTATTTTTACCTTTAATTGTGGCTTATTCCCAGTTAAATAGTAATTAATTATTCTTAATTGCTATCAATAGTGTTATTCATGAAATTAGAGCACCGATTAAAGCCAGTATTTATGCAGACGGCATCTTCGTTTATACTAAATCCCCAATATAGAATCAGCAACTAAAATTTTACAAAATTTTTAACTCGGCTTGAAAATTGGACGAAAAAAACTAGGTTTAACTTCTCAACAGAAAAAAACACAATACACAATTTTTAATAAAAACAGATCTTGGTATTCAACTGACCTAACTTTAATAATTTATTATTAAAACAATCAGAAGAAGTTAATTTTCTAGGTTTAATTTTTACTAGAACCTTAAATTGGAACTTGCATATCAATAATCTACAACATTCCTGTCAATCTAGGTTAAATATACTCAAAATTCTGTCTAATAAAGTTTGGGGTGCAGATACTAAAATATTAATAAACATATAATAATCAATTCCATGGAATGGAGACCCCAAATACAAGCTAACAGAAATAGAGGTCGACCTCCAACGAGATAGACAGATGACATAAAAAGAGTGACTTCAAATTGGAATCAAATGGCGCAAAATCGGACTAAGGGTGGCCGCACACAGAAAAAGCAAAACTGTTTTAGTCAAAAACGTTTTTGTTTGAAACGAAAACGTTTTTGTTTCCAAAAGAAACATTTTGTTTTCAAGAGAAACAAAATGTTTTGCACAAACCATACTGAAATCAGTTTTATTAAAGGTGTCGACAGATAATGACGAAATTGCACTAGTTTTCTGGCAGTGGTTCCTCCTACAGGACGAAAAAACGCAAAATAAAAGACAATTTTGGGTGAATCCTATAAATAAGAAAAGAACTGCTGAAAAAACTCTCCAGTCTTTGTGATTCAAATTTTGATTGTGATGATCTTTTAATTGATAGTTATATAAGGGGTCTGGCCTCAATCAGTACAATTAATTTTTCTGCGTCCACTTTCATGATACACACAATATAAACAAGCAAAATATCGTTGTTTCCACATGTGCTTCTTGTTGACTAAGCGAGCGGTTTCAAGAAGGGGATTCCAAAAACATGTTGTGTCTGCGTACATTGAAATGTTTCGACACAAAACGACGATCCTGTAATCAACATCAAACAGACTGACTAAAACTAAATGAGCCTAAACATGATTTAGACACACGACTAATCAGTGTGCGTCAGCTCATTTCATTTATATGGAAACATCAGCATCAGACTCGTTTAGTCAAAAACGTTTTTGACTAAAACAGTTTTGCTCTTTCTGTGTGCGGCCACCCTAAGTGTGAAAGCATGCAAGAGGCATATGTTCAGCAGTGGACGTTAGAGGCTAGTTGATCATGATGATGATAATAATCACTCATTAGGAGTAAACTAGATTACGGTTGCATTATTTGTTATAACACCACAAGCAAAACTACCTTAAAAAAAGCCTAAAAGTATTCAACAGCTTTGAGATTGGCACTTGGTGCATTTAGAACTATTCTACAGTACAGTACAGTAGAACTAGTAGTCTACAAGTTCTAGCTAAAGAGCCACCTCTAAACATAAAGCGACAGCAATTGAGAGAGAATGGTAGAGAATGGTCATTCTCTCTCCTGTTGCGACAAGGATGTAGAGCGTAGAATAATTTTTAAATAATTTTAAACTGTTTGTCCTTGTTTTAGTGTAGTGTTATGTACAATTTATGTTCAATATTATGTTTATTACATTCTGCGCTTGTTGGATCGCCCAAATTTGACGAAATGCCCCTGATGATGCTGTAGAAAGCGAAAGTACTTGGGCAAGATTTGATTATTAAAATTGTGCTCGATATTTGTCTTTAATTTTTCAAAGTTTTGTTTTAGCCGGCGTCAAAATAATTGAATGGATAGGAATAATTCCCAAAAGCGAAAGACTGGAATATATTTGGCAACAACTATCTCCAAATCCATTATTAAGTCCCCTATCAGAACATGAGCTTGATGAAAAAATTCGCTATCATTTACCACTTTGTAAAAAAATCGAAGAAATACTTGGATATACTTTCAAAAACAAGGCCTATCTTTTACAAGCGTTGACGCATAATTCTTATACTCCAAATAGAACGACTCTATCATATCAAAAACTCGAATTCTTAGGTGATGCCGTACTCGATTTTCTTATTACCTGTCACATATACGAAAGTTGTGAAAATTTAGATCCCGGGCAACTGACCGATTTGAGGTCTGCTTTAGTCAACAACAACACATTCGCTAGTCTTTGTGTAAGATTGCGTTTGCATACGTATCTGCTTATGATGAACATGCAGCTGCAAAAACTAATAGACAGGTTCGACAGCTTTATGGCACAAAAGGACTATATAATAGATGATGAAGTTTTAATATTACTCCAGGAGGATGAATACCAATTGGCAGAATCAGTAGATGTACCTAAGGTATGTTTAATTTTTTATATTAACATATGTAATGTTATACTAAACTTTCATAAAATAAAATAGACAGTTAAGGCTTGCTTTCGTTACAGCGTACCATCATCCATTGATATGTATGTTTGTTTTGCAACGTTTAGAAAATACAGATTTCAGCTAAATCCTGAATTCGATTTCCGTTTCACATTCTCGTTAGCAGATGTCGCTCTAACGTCTGTCGGTAAATATTTTAAATATTTACTTTTATGGGTGGGAAAGGTTTTATTTCGTTAGAGCTTACCATGAGTTCGCTCTCAGTAAGTCAAGAGGCAGAAACATGCATGTCAGCGAATGGTGACACGCTGTAACGAAATAAAAGATTAACTGTCTATAATTGATGGATTCGACCGTTACTTGATGAAAATTCATTTTATGTAACAATAAAACATTGAAAACTTTGTTTTCAAACTTCCACAAAATTTATTTTAACTCTTATCACTACAGCTGTTTCGGCTGATTGCACTTCACATTCAAATAAAGGCCTTAAGCTATCCTTGTTAGAATCTATGAAAATCAACAAATTAAAAAACAACAGATATAATTCTGAATGACCAACTTGAGACAAACTGTTCTCCCCTCCTCAACCTATTTCATTAGAGACTATAAAGTGTAAACGCAAGCCAAAAATAGGTCACTTGTAAAGGCAATCAGCCGAAACAGCTGTAGTGATAAGAGTTAAAATAAATTGCGTGGAAGTTTGAAAACAAAGTTTTCAGTATTTTATTGTTACATTAACTGTCTATTTTATTTTACATTATACTCTAGTATGGAGTACTAGGAAATTGTTTTTACGAAGGGATTTCTGCCTAAACGAGTTTGTATGACGTAGATACAAATTATAAATCCCCATTCCAGTGCATTTTCGGTGCATTTGTCGTGTGCTTGTTTTGCAACGTTTAGAAAACACCGATTTGGACCATATCCTGCATTGAATTTTCGATTTATATTTTCGTTAGATGTTTCAGTTTACAAACGATATTATTAATATTTATTTTGTGTATTGTATGGATTATTCACAAATTAATTTGTAAATGAGCTGTGAGATTTGTAGCTCAAATGTCCACTTTTCCTAGATCTTTGGAAAACCGGATACGTTTTCCCATAAAAGTACGTAGAGGCAAAGATAGATAAAGCGAAATAGAGAGAAAGAAAGAATCGATTCATCCCCAGATTTTCGGATAGTTTGTGAATATTTTGAACATTCATTCTATTCATTTTTGTCTTATTTCTTGGTAAAGCCGCAATCGCGGTATTATGGCTGTTTTTTTTTATATAATTTTTCCTTCAGATTGATTGGAATTTTTTGGCACTGAATACACCATTCGCTTCAATTCGCTTCATCCATCCAACCCTAGTTCTACTACATGCATTTCCATCTATTTCTCCATAACTTTGTAATACGATCCTAGCTACTTAAACCTATGGCTTTTCATAATTGTTTCAATATTTGTAACGATAAGACTACAAAAGAGAATTGAAATACTATTATAAAAATGATACCTCAATCAACAATGGGAGCTTATCGTATATGCCTTGCCTAGCTCAGTATCTCAAGTGTCAATTTGTCTTGTCTTAAACTAGGAACTAAACCATGAACCCTTTGCTGATAGCAGAGTTGGGCTGTTTTAAAACAAGCTTTTTAAAACAACGTTTTAAAACATGTTTAAAAACACTGAAAAAAAAAACAGTTGCATTTTAAAACACCGTTTTAAATCATTGTTTTAAAACATTGTTTTAAAACATAGTTTTTTTTCTTTATTGTTTATTATTATTTTGTTTATTAACATAGAATAAGTAGGTGCAATAACAATATTAATGCTAAGTAAAAAGTAAAACTCAAAAAAAGTAACTGACTAAACTTTATTTATGTTCAGGTAGCAAGCATACTAGTACTGTTACGACAGTTCTGTAGTAACATTAACTAAACCAATACTCCTAATAAAGTTAAATGAAAAAGAAAATTAAGAAATTAAGTAAATAATTATTGAATTACAACAGCATCTATTACACAGTCCTACATCCTGCAACTGATATGTGATACAAAAAATAAAAATAACAATGAATGTTCCTTAAAAAAATAAAAACTATAAATATAGAGCTTTTACGGTTAATAATGTAACCTTAAACATTTTTAATTAAATGTTGAAATATTGTTACTAGCTTAGCAGCTTTGTCACTTCCTAACCTATTCCTCAATTTCGAGTGAACTAGACCATATGAAGAAAAAAGCCTCTCCACTCCAGCACTGGATGCAACTGCTGAAAATAATTGAGTTGTCAGCTGCAACAACTCCGATGAAATAAACTGTTTTTGAGATATCCACAATGTTAAAGAACTTAAATTGTCTACTGTATTTTTTGCAAACAAATATTGTTTATTAAATGGCGGTGCTAAGGCACGAAATGACAGTATTTCGGGCATTACATTTGGGTGAAAATCCGAAATAAATAACAATGCTCTATCAACTACCACCTCAGAGAGTTTCTGACCTAAGTACTGAGGGTCTAATAAATAAGCTAAATAATGCGCATCTGTTATAGCCAGTTGAAAACGTGCTTCTGCTTTATGAAGTTCCAACACGTTGCTACAACCGTTAGATTGAGCTTCACTTTCACTTTGGAAATAACCCAGTAAGTCCTTCCAAATGTCTGTTGCATCTGCTATGGTGCAGGTATTTCTCTGGCATTTATCCAAAGCCCATATGTGTGCCAGTTGAGGTTTATGGGAATCCCTTTAGAAATCCAGTGAAGTACGTAATTATTTTAAAGCGTTTTTTTTTTGTTTTAAAACAGTGTTTTTTTGTTTTAAAACAGTGTTTTTTTAGATGAAAAAAAACTGTTTTAAAACAAAAAACATTGTTTTTAAATAAAAAAAACATGTTTTTTGTTTTTTTTTAAAACATTTTTTTGTCCAACCCTGGCTGATAGCAAATAAAACAATTACTTAACTAATCATATTAATTAAAAATAAAAAATAATATTTTAGGCAAAAACAACCCTGTCAATTCTTTATATTAAATAAATTCTAATAATACTTATGGCATCATGGTATCGATGGTCTGCTTGCTACTAAATATCTGCGGCTTCCCAATTAAGTAGTTAGGTCCTCCTGACAGCTGCAGTTAGGTCTTCCAGAGCATGTTATTCCTTAGTAAATTGTAATAATTTACACTTATAGTAATAATTTAGATCATTATGTATGATCAGTAGGTAGCGCCATCTAGTTTAGATTCCAGAAAGTACACACCGCTAGGTGTCCTCGAACTACATAGAGTCGTTTATAAAATAAACTAAAACTAAAAATGGGCTGATCCTCCACTCAAAAAAGATTTTTAAGTGGAAAATAGCTATAGCTTTTACAGGAGTGTGCATATTATGTATATATGTAGCGACTTCACTTTACCGACTACATAGTGCGTGAAATTATACATTATATAAATATTTTATCCTTTGCATTTCTTCAGTAATAGTATTCCTTTTAGGTACTTGGTGATATTTTCGAAGCAATAGCTGGTGCTATCTATTTGGATAGTAATAAATGTTTGAGAACAGTGTGGGACGTATTTTATAAGATAATGTGGAAAGAAATCGATCTATTTACAAGTAATATTCCGAAAAATGCGATAAGAAGACTGTTTGAATGGACTTCCGCTCATGCTAAATTTGGGTAAGTACAATTGCTTTTCTATTGTTTTGTTGTAGATATACGGTATGTTTATAATTGATAATTGATGGATTCGACCGTTACTTGATGGAAATTCATTTTATGTAACAATAAAACACTGAAAACTTTGTTTTCAAACTTCCACAAAATTTATTTTAACTATTATCACTACAGCTGTTTCGGCTGATTGCCTTTCTCAAGTGATCTATTTTTGGCTTTACAATGTATGGTAAGGTATGTTTATAATTTTTTTTGTTTGACCTTGAAAACGCTTACAAAATTGGAATTTTAATATAAATCCCTTTATGATGGCAGGTTTATTAAAACTTCACTAGACACTAAAAGTGTCAAGATACCATATTTCCGGAGCACAGGCCTGCATAACGTACCAAACTTGACCTTGCATAAATATCTGAGTGCTCTCTTTTGTAGCATAAAATTTCTACTGAAATTATGAAGAGAACAGCTACCCCAAAAGGCAATACCGTATCTCAAATTAGATTCAATCAGGGCCACATAAACACTTTTTGCCATGATAACCCGATGATTTCTTTTTGCTTAGTGTGTTGCTCAAGTTTATTATCAATATAGTGATATAGCTTAGTGAATAATCTGATATAGATTATTGCTTAGTGAATAAGAGACCTAAATCAAAGTTATACCTAAATATTTGTTTACAGTGTCAGAACAAATGACTTTATTACCCAGAATAATGTTGTTTAGATTATTCTTAAAATAAATTAATTTGGTTTTTGAAAAATTAAATGTCAAATGATAATCTTCATGGCAAGGTAAGACTCCCAAACTGCGGTTGTTGACTCTGACGTAGTCCCTAGAAAGACCTCTAGGTAACTACTGACAACAGTTATCCGACAACCTCTTTTTGCCGTTGGCCATTTGCCATCTGAGCACCTTCCCCAGATGGCAGAACCCCAGAACAGAAGAGTGTTCTTCCAGAAGCTGTTTACCAACAAGATGGAATTGCTTATACAGGCAGTTACTCGTGTTTTCGCCATATCTAGTTTAGCCTGCCAAGTGGAACCAAAAGTGAGAGATAGGTGTCTTATGAGCACCAGCTATCAAGAACCATCTCACCTCTATAACACAACCCTACACCCGTCTTCTTCTTCTCGTGCCACTCCTAGCGGAGATTGGAAATCATCATGACCACTGCGACTTTGTTAGCAGCGCGTCTAAAAAGTTCAATCGAACTACACTCGAACCATTCACGTAGATTACGAAGCCACGATATTTTTCTTCTTCCCACACTTCTTTTGCCCTTAATTTTGCCCTGCATGATGTTTCTTAAAAGTTCGTACTTTTCACCTCTCACAATGTGCCCCAAGTATTCGATCTTTCTAGTTTTTATCTCATTTAGAATTTCGCATCTTTTGTCTAAAGTTTGGAGTACTTGCGTGTTAGTGACGCGGTCCATCCATGATATTCTGAGAATGCGCCTATAGCACCACATCTCGAAAGCTTCAATGTTTTTTATGGTCAACGGTTTTAGTGTCCAAGCCTCAACTCCATATAACAGGGTAGAAAAGACATAACACCGCAGCATTCGTATTCGTAACTTTATATTGATATCACGATTGCAAAAGAGTTTGCGCATTCTATTAAAGACTGATCTAGCGATTTATATTCTACATCTAATCTCTTTTGTTTGATCAGTATCGTCTGTGATCCAAGCACCTAGATATTTATAACAGGGCACACGCTGAATCGTTGTATTGTCTATTACAAGATTAGCTCTGATGTTCTTTGATTTCGTGATTACCATAAATTTAGTTTTTTTCAAATTAATTTTCAAGCCGTAACTGTTACAGTATATATTGAGACTTTGAACGAGATGTTGTAGTTCTACTAGCGTTCCCGTTAGGAGAACTGTATCGTCAGCATACCTTATATTGTTGATCGTCTCACCATTTATTATCAGACCAAGATCTTCTTCCTCGAGTACTTGTTCACAGATAGCTTCACTATACAGATTAAATAAAAGTGGCGATAAGATACATCCCTGCCAGACTCCTCGACGGATTTGAATTTCTTCTGTTAGTCTGCCCTCAACCTTGACATTTGCTGTTTGATTCCAATATAGATTGCATATAATTCGAATATCTCGGCTGTCTATATTTTTCTTTATTAGAACTTGTCTTAGTGGTTCATGTTGTACTTTGTCAAAGGCCTTTTCGAAATCAATAAAGCAGGCGTAAATTTCTTGGTTCATGTCTAAGCATCTCTGTGAGAGAACGTTCATTGCAAACAGAGCCTCCCTTGTACCCAGCCCTTTTCTGAATCCCATCTGAGTGTTACTGATGTCTACGTCTAATTTCCTATAGATCCTATTATGGATTATTTTTAAAAACAGTTTTAGAGCATGACTCATCAAACCCTACACCCGTCTCTCATTCTAATTAACTTTTATGTATTTATTAATTATTTATTGTTTAATTAACAGCATTTAATTTTATTTATTTCTTTTAGAAAAACGGTACCAACAGAAAACAAAAAAACTATGATACCTTTGCAGTTTCAGTTGAACGGAATTCCAACTATGGTCCATGGTTTTGGAACTAATACGGCAATGGCCAAGAAGGCTGCAGCAAAATTAGCGTTGCAGTTGCTTTTGGAGAGAAAAGAGAAAAAATAATTTTAAAAAAATTTTAAAATAGAAAAAGTACCTATTTATTGTTAATATTCTCCTGACAATTATTTTTTAATTTATCAAATATTTAATAGTTAAGCACAGTTTATAGGATTATATTGATGTTTTGATTTAATCTTTAGAAATCGTTCTCACAGTACAAATTGAACAAATTATTTTGTTTGAAAAAACCAAACATCCATAGAGAGGTTAATACAAACGTTAAGAATCGTTAAGTTGTATAAACAATCAATTAAAACCAAGTACAGTTTAACACAAACTTAGAACAGCAAAAAAACATGTGGTTATTATATATGTAATTTAAAAAAATTCGCCGAGAAACTAACAAGATCACCCTTCCAACACTAGAACATTAATTTAGTTTATTTTGACTTTAGGTAACATTATTAAAATGATTGCAAAAGTTTGCAGTAGTAATCTTGTAAAAAATGTATTAAAAGTTGCCATAAAAACTATACCCCCCCCCCCCCCGAAACACTCGGCAAATGGGACCTAATTTAAAGCACAAGAACCATCTCGTGAAAGATAGTGTATTTGAAGTCCAAAAATGACAACACAAGGCGAATTAGCAACCGCTAATAATACATTATAGCGGTAAATTTAAAGGTATGATTTAGTAAGGAGAAATCATTGTCTGTACGAACCATTATAAAGAAAGCAACAGATGGTTAGAAAACACCATTTTACTTTCAAGGAATGGCTCAAAGAAAGACAAACAAGTGAGGTCGATCTTTCTATATCATAATACAAGTGACTATGTTGTAGCTGGTTAACCAGCCACAGGTACAGATTTAATTTAACTTCCACAGTCCAAGGTTCATATATTTTAGAACTGAGTAATTAATGGGAATTACATGAATCAAATTAATTTCAAATATTTCATCAAAAATTTTTTTTGCATTGATAAATGAATTAATAAAATATTAGTTGAATAGTAATCATGGTTTAAGTAAAAAAAGGAAAATTTTACTTGAATTTATTTAAAAATGAAAATGTACACAAAAACACACCGTAGGAGACAATATTAAAGTATAAAACTAATAAAGCCTAGTTCTGCAACATGAATGCATGATAAATTTGGCTCAGGTTACTAATGTCTGTCGTCTTATTCAGAGCGTTGGGGTGTTTCAGTATCGAACACATTTCCAAAAACTGCCTTTTCACGAGATTGCGTTCGTTGCCAAGAATCCTAACTTCGTTAAAGTCCACCTTGTGATTTGTATTAACGGCATGCTAAGCAAGAACACAAATATGCTTGGATAGGTTAATATCACTACGGTGTGTCGTAAGACGCCCCCTCAGTGATCTCCCTGTCTGACCGATATAACACGAGTGGAGAAATAAAAGACAAAGTTGATAGGCTACTTTATCTATTTTGAAGACGTTTCGCTTTCGTATTCTGAAAGGATCATCAGTTCATCTAAAAAGTACAATATGAGAACCACACAATCATGGAAACGATGTTATAATTGTTACCTTGAAAAGACATGTAGCAGTCAAAGTTATTTACAATTATGTGAATAAAACTCAAGTAAATGGACATTATGCAGTGATATTGTATAAACAATCAAGTAACTAACAACATATAGCAACTTATAAAAAATTAGCACAGCAACTGACCATGTGGTCTAAAGTAAACGAAATATTATATTTAATCTTAAGTAGTGAAAAAGAACCAAGAAAATCATAGATATACTTCCAACTATTTAATAATTATTAAGCTTTGATTTTAACTTTAGGTATCATTATAAGTGATGTTAATAAAAAATTTATTTAAAAAGTAGTGTAAATGAAGTTACCGATCAAAGCCTTACAGCTACCGCCGGAAAAATGGCGTTAAATGAACCAGACCGAACTAAACCGCAAAAAGACAGCCAACCTTGAGGTCAAAAATCTTTTGACAGATCAACATGGTGGAGGTACCACCCCAAATAATTGGGCGGTATTTTCCGAGGGCCGCTGTGTACATTTAAATTTGAGCATATTCTTCGTTTAAACGATGAAATCACTCTTCCAAATAGTGGAATTGTACTTTAGTTTCTAACGTTTTCTGCCATAAACTGACGTCACGCATATCTGGTCTGTTAATTGTATGGTCTCTGGTAATCTGGTCTGGTCTGTATTTTGAGAATGATTTCCGAAGTGGAAATCGAAATGTCAAAATAAACGTATTTTAAACTGAAACTGTGGTCAATTCCCATTGAAGATAGTAAGTAATTATTTGTTTAATTGTGTTTATCCGCGATTGTATATCTAGAATTATTGTGGCTTTTGTTACAGCTTAAAGCTCAAAGCAATGTCTGTAAAAATGTTGTATGAGACAGAAGTGACTGAAGTAGTAGGAAAATATTATAACTTTATTTATATTTATAAAATAGAAAAATATACGAAAATATGTGTTAATAAATATTCAATTTCTTATTTTTGTAATATTTATATCCGAAATATAGATGAATGATTGTTAAATTTGCTTTTTATTTATATCCTCAAGTATTTAGATTAAGTATCAAGAAAACATAATGATACGACGACTATAACTACAAGACTTATATTGTGCTGGTGACTTTAATGTTAATTTATTAAATACGAGAATAGATACTAAGATTGTCTCTGATTTTTTTTAAACAATGGGGTTACATCAAGTCATAGATCAACCGACTAGAATCACTAGTACTGTAACCATCGAGCAAAAAGACAAAAGAGGGAAACTAATCCTTATGAAAAGGAGACCAAAAAAGTGGCCTCTGATGGCGGACATATCCGGAAATGCAAATGCGCGAAATTTAAATTTTCCAACACTTAACAGTAGCTATAAAATAGTTTTCAGAATGTGTCTTGGACGAAAAAGTTTTAATTAAATATTACCGGTAACAGTCTAAAATGTGAACAATTATTAAAAAAAAACTTTAATATAAATAAGATTTCATGTGACAGTTGGGACAAATAATAACATAACCCAACTAAATTTGATTTCTTAAACAAAGAAAGACTCCATTTCCTTGTATAATTTGGCCTCTCAAGATGGCACTTTCTGTCTAACAATATTTTTGCCCCCACTACCTTTGCATTCCCTCTCTTGTCTTTTTGCTCGATGACTGCACCCCTTATTGATTATATATGTTAACCACTAAACGAAATTCCATTCGTGATATTGCCGTGACCATGAGTTGTTGATATCCAAAATAAACATAGAAACTAAAAAGAAAGAAGTTGTTTATAAAACTGTCAGAAACTTCAAGGCGATAGACCATACCATATTTTATGAAGAATTACAGTCTCTACCTTGGCGAAATATTTTTGATATTGAGAGTATTGATGATAAAGTTGAATTTCTTACTAATAATATAATATGCTTACTGAATTGTCATATTCCTTACGCAACTTATAAAATTTCGAAAAATTATGCACCATGGATGACTGATACTTTACGTATTATGAAAAGAGAAAGGGAAAAAATACTGAGTACGTACAAAAAATACAAAAACATGCAAACTTGGGAGGAATACAAAACGATTAGAAATATATTTACTTTGTCTGTCAGAAGAGAAAAAAAAGCCTTCTATTCAAAAAAATTGGATAATAAAAACGGGAGAGACCTTTGGGATTCTTTAAAAATGATAGGTCTTGGTAGAGATACTGATAATACTAAGCAACTATCAGTGATATTTCGTGATATCAGTGATATTTCTACAATGAATGAATACTTTATAAATTGTATTCCTAATATGAATCCTGATTTAACAGTTAACAACTTTTATAATAATAATTTTCGTGTGGACATATGTGCAAATTTCTCTTGTGTCCGAGAAAGGGACGTTTTAAATGTAATTAAAAGTATCAAGAGTGCTGCTACCGGATGCGACAAAATAAATATACTAACAATTAATATGTGCCTTCCGTTTTTATTACCGTATTTGACACATATTATCAATGTTTGCATTATAAGAGCAGAGTTTCCATCGATGTGGAAAGTTGCTAAAATTATACCGATACCGAAAACTAATAATTCGACACGGTTTAATTAATTAGTATACTACCTACGTTTTCAAAGATCCTAGAGAAAATTTTAAATCAGCAACTGTTAAGTATGAAACTCAGACGACATTTTCATTCGGCTTGTCAATTCAAAAAAATTATTATTTTTAAAACCCCACCATATCTCTATAATAAAATAAAATTCCGTACTGATGTACAGTTGCGGTCACGGAATAGTTTACACCTTACTTTTTATATTGTAATACTGTAAAATTGCAGTGTCGTACGGATTTGATAAATGTCAAAGTCAAAAAATTTCAAAACGTCAATGCTTTCGCGAGTGTTCAACAATAAAATATAAGTATATTAAACTCTTCCAAAATGGTTAGAATACATTTGAATTAATAAAATGCATATTAAAAAAAAAAGACTTCTTTATTTTCGTTATTAAGATCATAATCCATTTTATTCAAAAAACTGTTTTCTATATTTTTCATTTTGTAAAATATTTTGATATTTTAATTTTAATCTACCTATTCTAGCTAGTACACCACTGGCAACGTCACTTTGACGTAAAAGGTGCGTTTAAACGAAGTAAAAATTTAAAAAATGGGCTCTTAGATACGTGAACCTGTAAACTATTCCGTGACCGCAACTGTACATTGCGTTTTGGTTCAATGTAAAAAAAAACTAAAGAACTAAAACGCGACATACAAAAATGGAACGAGAACTTAATAGAGCGAGTCATTGAAAACAACAGAGGCTTAAAATGTCTAAGACCCGCACTGGGAGTCCAAAAAATCATCAAAATTAAAGACGCTAACAATAAGGTAGAGAAGGACAAATATAAAATAACAAATATTGTCGAAGACTTCTACACATCCTTGTACAGCTCACAAGGCCGGCCTAATGGAACAACAAAGGAGAACGTCAAAAGAAAAATAAAAAACGTGGAATCAGAGAAATATAAAGGGATACGAAATAGAAAGAGCTTTAAAAGAACTAAAAAATAATAAAGCTCCAGGACACGACGGTATAATTGCCGAGCTCTTGAAAATAAGCAAGACATTAACAATCCCTGTACTAACATTTAATAGATGTCTCCATAATAGCCAGATCCCTAAAGACTGGAACGAAAGTCTAGTAATACTCTTACACAAAAAAGGGGACAAATGTGATCTACAGAATTATAGACCTATATCGTTGCTTAGTCAAGTATACAAACTATTTATGAGAATTATTAATAACCGGTTAACCTACAAAATGGATAATTACCAACCGGTTGAACAGGCTGGCTTCCGCAAAAGATATAGTACATCAGACCATCTGCTGACAATGAGAACATTGATAGAGAAGGCAAATGAATACCAACTACCCGTATTTCTTGTCTTCGTCGACTATGAAAAGGCGTTTGATAGTATCGAGATGTGGGCCATAGAACAAGCTATTAATAATTATTGTAGAATAGACTCGAGATATAGGCAACTATGATAGTACAACTAGACGAAAATACAAATCCCATCCCCATTAAGAGAGGATCCTCTCTCGAGTGAGACAAGGAGACGTAATATCGTCAAAGCTTTTCAACCTAACCCTAGAAGACGTCTTCAAAACTACAAATTGGTCAACCTATGGCATTAACGTTAATGGCAACAAGTTAAACCACCTCAGGTTAGCTGACGAGATAGTGATTATAGCGAGCACATTCGAAGAACTGCAAATTATGTTGGGGGAACTAGCAGCCAGCTCCCAATACGTCGGGCTAAAAGTGAATATGAAAAAAACTAAAATAATGACAAACACAGAAGACCCCAGACATATATAACTATAAACGGCAGTGAGATAGAACAAATCCAGGAATATATCTACCTAGCCCAAATCTTGAGACTTGACAAAGAGAACCAAAGTGCGGAAATTACTAGAAGAGCAAGACTAGCATGGGCAGAATTAAAAACAAATTCATGGGATGTATCAGCTTCCAAAACATATTCGTATAAAATTTCATTACAATCACTTACAATGATGCATGTAGTTTCGGCAAAATCGTAAAAAATGCGTAAATTTTTTTCTTCTTCAACGGCCTGTATCTTGAAAACGGATGGCGTTACAAAAAATTTTTACTAAGCAAACCCCAAATTTTTTTCAGTTTTTTACCTACCCTAGAGACGGGGTTCCCTTTTTTTGAAACACCCTGTATAACGAAACTATAATAATGAGGTGCATGGTTACAATGGTATACAATGAGGTGAATGGTTTTACTTGTTAATATCAACTTTACGTAGGTACTAAATCTGCTTACCAGATAGATGGTCTTTGCTGCTTACCCTGAACGATTTTCGCTAATAAATGAACGAACTTTTTCGCAATGTCAATTTTTTAATTAATGCTTTTTCGTTTCTATTCGACGGTTGAGGAACATTTTTCGTTTATCAGCCACTTTCCTATTTTTATTTTACATTAGGTAGATATTTAGGTGCCTACTTAACTTCAAACAATTAATTGTTTTAAGAAAAATTGAACATATCTGAATCTGTCGAGTTATGAATTATTGTAACATTGTATGTGAAAATTTATAGGATTCTAGAAGTCTAGGGGATTTCGAAAATATTGTTAAATCGAGGAAACCATCATATTGAGGGTCGTTAAGGTTACACCAAAGAATATAGATAAACGTCTATATTCTTTGGTTACAGGTGATTAAATAATATTATGTATATAATTAAATAAAAATTTATTTTTTTTTTTTTGAAAATGATTTCCGGGCTGTTCCAGTTTACTTCCTAATGTTACTGAATCTGGACAATTTTTTTAAATATAATATAACTCCTTAACTTACCCTTTCGTGCCCTTACCTGTCCTTATACATAATTCCGATTACGTCAGTGAAAGTGAAAGTGAGATACAAAACATTTCGTCTTCCGCGCCAGTTTTTGGCGCAGATGATGCGCTTTAACCTAACTTCCAGAATTTACCCACTGCAGATTTGCAGAAAACTAGATTAAGGGTTTATGGTTGGTTAGGTTTAGTTTAGGTCACGTTTAGGTTGGCCGTTCTGCCCTTCTGATTGAATTTATTATTTGCTTGCTGTACTAAGAAATTTTATATTAAGTTTGTGTATTAAGTTTTCAATTATTTGAGCGTGCATTTTGTTACACTAGATACAAACAACGGTTATTGTTAGTCCTATTGTGCAGTGAATTTTAAATAAAACGACACTATCCAATAGTTCAAAAGGAATAATAATTCAGATTGGAATAATATTTAATATGGTTTTTTAGCAGACACTTCTCTTTTAATACGGTGAGTAGTAATATACCTCTAAATTGTGATAATTCTGTTATATTGAGCAAAGATTCCCATATATACAACAGAATAATTAAAAAAATAAGATAAAAATCCCAATAGCGATCATTACTGCTACTGTTCATACAATATCAAACCTCACAGTTTTTAATAAAATTAATCCTTATTATTTAAATAACAAATTAAT